TTTCTCCCCTGGCTATCCCTCCCCACCTCCCCCTCCCACTGGCCCTCCCCTGTTCCCCCCAATAGACCCCAGTGTTTAGTACTCCCCTTTCTGTGTCCATGTGTTCTCATTTTTTATCACCCGCCTATGAGTGAGAATATGCGGTGTTTCATTTTCTGTTCTTGTGTCAGTTTGCTGAGGATGACGTTCTCCAGATTCATCCATGTCCCTACAAACGACACAAACTCATCATTTCTGATTGCTGCATAATATTCCATGGTGTATATGTGCCACATTTTTCCAATCCAGTCTATTATCAATGGGCATTTTGGTTGATTCCAGGTCTTTGCTATTGTAAACAGTGCTGCAATGAACATTCGTGTACATGTGTCTTTATAGTAGAACGATTTATAGTCTTTTGGATATATACCCAGTAATGGGATTGCTGGGTCAAATGGAATTTCTATTTCTAAGGCCTTGAGGAATCGCCACACTGTCTTCCACAATGGTTGAACTAATTTACATTCCCACCAACAGTGTAAAAGTGTTCCTTTTTCTCCACATCCTCTCCAGCATCTGTTGTCTCCAGATTTTTTAATGATCACCATTCTAACTGGCGTGAGATGGTATCTCAGTGTGGTTTTGATTTGCATCTCTCTGATGACCAGTGACGATGAGCATTTTTTCATATGATTGTTGGCCTCATATATGTCTTCTTTCATAAAGTGTCTGTTCATATCCTTTGCCCATTTTTGAATGGGCTTGTTTGTTTTTTTCCTGTAAATCCGTTTGAGTTCTTTGTAAATTCTGGATATCAGCCCTTTGTCAGATGGGTAAACTGCAAAAATTTTTTCCCATTCTGTTGGTTGCCGATCCACTGTAGTGACTGTTTCTTTTGCCGTGCAGAAGCTGTGGAGTTTCATTAGGTCCCATTTGTCTATTTTGGCTTTTGTTGCCAATGCTTTTGGTGTTTTGTTCATGAAGTCCTTGACTACTCCTATGTCCTGGATAGTTTTGCCTAGATTTCATTCTAGGGTTTTTATGGTGCCAGGTCTTATGTTTAAGTCTTTAATCCATCTGGAGTTAATTTTGGTGTAAGGTGTCAGGAAGGGGTCCAGTTTCTGCTTTCTGCACATGGCTAGCCAGTTTTCCCAATACCATTTGTTAAACAGGGAATCCTTTCCCCCTTGCTTGTTTTTGCCAGGTTTATCAAAGATTGTATAGTTGTAGATATGTTGTGTTGCCTCCGGTGCCTCTGTTTTGTTCCATTGGTCTATATCTCTGTTGTGGTACCAGTACCATGCTGTTTTGATTACTGTAGCCTTGTAGTATAGTTTGAAATCCGGTAGTGTGATGCCCCCCGCTGCGTTCTTTTTGCTTAGAATTGACTTGGCTATGCGGGCTCTCTTTTGGTTCCATATGAAGTTCATGGTGGTTTTTTCCAGTTCTGTGAAGAAAGTCAATGGTAGCTTCATGGGGATAGCGTTGATTCTGTAAATTACTTTGGGCAGTATAGCCATTTTCACGACGTTAATTCTTCCTAACCATGAACATGGAATGTTTCTCCATCTGTTTGTGTCCTCTCTGATTTCGTTGAGCAGTGGTTTGTAGTTCTCCTTGAAGAGGTCCCTTACGTTCCTTGTGAGTTGTATTCCAAGGTATTTTATTCTTTTTGTAGCAATTGTGAATGGCAGTTCGTTCTTGATTTGGCTTTCTTTAAGTCTGTTATTGGTGTAGATGAATGCTTGTGATTTTTGCACATTGATTTTATATCCTGAGACTTTGCTGAAGTTGCTTATCAGTTTCAGGAGTTTTTGGGCTGAGACGATGGGGTCTTCTAGGTACACTATCATGTCGTCTGCAAATAGAGACAATTTGGCTTCCTCCTTTCCTATTTGAATACCCTTTATTTCTTTTTCTTGCCTGATTGCTCTGGCTAGAACTTCCAGAACTATATTGAATAGGAGTGGTGAGAGAGGGCATCCTTGTCTAGTGCCAGATTTCAAAGGGAATGCTTCCAGTTTTTGCCCATTCAGTATGATTGGCTGTTGGTTTGTCATAAATAGCTTTTATTACTTTGAGATACGTTCCATCGATACCGAGTTTATTGAGGGTTTTTAGCATAAAGGGCTGTTGAATTTTGTCAAATGCCTTCTCTGTGTCAACTGAGATAATCATGTGGTTTTTGTTTTTGGTTCTGTTTATGTGGTGAATTACGTTGATAGACTTGCGTATGTTGAACCAGCCTTGCATCCCCGGGATGAATCCTACTTGATCGTGGTGAATAAGTTTTTTGATTTGCTGTTGCATTTGGCTTGCCAATATTTTATTGAAGATTTTTGCATCTATGTTCATCATGGATATTGGCCTGAAGTTTTCTTTTCTTGTTGGGTCTCTGCCGGGTTTTGGTATCAGAATGATGTTGGTCTCATAAAATGATTTGGGAAGTATTCCCTCTTTTTGGATTGTTTGAAATAGTTTTAGAAGGAATGGTACCAGCTCCTCTTTATGTGTCTGGTAGAATTCGGCTGTGAACCCGTCTGGACCTGGGCTTTTTTTGTGTGGTAGGCTCTTAATTGCTGCCTCGACTTCTGACCTTGTTATTGGTCTATTCATAGTTTCAGCTTCCTCCTGGTTTAGGCTTGGGAGGATGCAGGAGTCCAGGAAGTTATCCATTTCTTCCATGTTTACTAGTTTATGTGCATAGAGTTGTTTGTAATATTCTCTGATGATGGTTTGAATTTCTGTGGAATCTGTGGTGATTTCCCCTTTATCATTTTTTATTGCATCTATTTGGTTGTTCTCTCTTTTATTTTTAATCAATCTGGCTAGTGGTCTGTCTATTTTGTTGATCTTTTCAAAAAACCAGCTCTTGGATTTATTGATTTTTTGAAGGGTTTTTCGTGTCTCAATCTCCTTCAGTTCAGCTCTGATCTTAGTTATTTCTTGTCTTCTGCTGGGTTTTGAGTTTTTTTGATCTTGCTCCTCTAGCTCTTTCAATTTTGAGGATAGGGTGTCAATTTTGGATCTCTCCATTCTCCTCATATGGGCACTTATTGCTATATATTTTCCTTTAGAGACTGCTTTAAATGTGTCCCAGAGATTCTGGTATGTTGTGTCTTTGTTCTCGTTGGTTTCGAAGAACTTCTTTATTTCTGCCTTCATTTCGTTGTTTACCCAGTCAACATTCAAGAGCCAGTTGTTCAGTTTCCATGAAGCTGTGCGGTTCTGGGTCTGTTTCTGAATTCTGAGTTCTAACTTGATTGCACTATGGTCTGAGAGGCTGTTTGTTATGATTTCAGTTGTTTTGCATTTGTTGAGAAGTGCTTTACTTCCAATTATGTGGTCAATTTTTGAGTAGGTGTGATGTGGTGCTGAGAAGAATGTATATTCTGTGTATTTGGGGTGGAGAGTTCTGTAAATTTTTGTATTTTTAGTAGAGATGTGAAATGTTTCTTTGGTAAGCTGGATCTAGGGGAATATGTTTCATTCTGTTTGCTGGAAGTATAATTTTTACATTTTTAAAGGTGTAAAATCTGCCCCTCTTCTGGCATTTCCTATGTCAGTGTATTATAATATGGATCGCATGCTTTTCTTTCTTCTCACATCAGTAGCTTTCCATAGCTGAATCCCATACACTCTCATCTCCTACAGAAGAGATTTCTGCTGCCCCTGCTAAGCACAGGCCTCATGTCTGACCTAGCACTTCAGAACAGACTTTGAAATTATTTCCACCTCATCTCTAACAGTACTTGTCAGTTTTTCTTTCTTTTTTTGTTTTTAGAGATGAAATCTTGCTCTATCACCTAGGCTGGAGTGGCAGTGGCATGATCTCGGCTCACTGCAGCTTCCTCCTGAGTTCCAGTGATTCTTCTGCCTCAGCTTCCCAGGTAGCTGAGTTACAGGCACCCACCACCATGCCCAGCTAATTTTTGTATTTTTAATAGAGACAGGGTTTCACCATGTTGGCCAGGCTAGTCTTGAACTCCTGACCTTAGATACTCCACCTGTCTCAGCCTCCCAAAGTGCTAGTATTACAGGCATAAGTCACTGTGCCCTGCTAATACCTGTCATGTTTTAACTCAAATGTGCCTTAGGAAAGCGATGTGTTGTTTCACAGTTCCTAAAAACGCCAAGAGGTTCACTGCACATCGTATCCTAGACTCTGAGAAGGCAAAGTTGTGGTGTGATATGCTAAAGCCTTCTCTATTGTATGAATTTTGCCAGGTCTTTTCCTTTCCCAAATCTTGCCCACATCTAACTGTCTACCTTCCTTTTTCCTAGCATTTTAAGTCTTTACAAAACATTCAATTTGTTTTTTACTAAAATGTTAGTAACTGGCTTTCTTTTCTCACTCATAATGTCACCAATTTATGTAATTTAATAGAATTATGCAATTATATAACAAGCACAGCCGGCACGAAGAGGTTTGGGAACAAAACAACAACTGCTGACAGGTATACCATCCAACTGGCGGGAGCAGAAATAGGCAGACCCACTAGATAAAGGGTGCCTATCACTTGTGAGCTCCCAGCATGCCGTGGGCACCTGCTGTCACTGTGTGCTACAGAGATGGAGACTATCAGTCTCTAGTGTCAGTTAAGAGACCTTCTGTTGCATTCCTCTTCTTTTTTTTTTGAGATGGGTTCTTGCACTTCTGCCCAGGCTGCAGTGCAGTGGTGCAATCTCGGCTCACTGCAACCTCCACCTCCTGGGTTCAAGCTGTTCTCCTGCCTCAGCCTCCCGAGTAGGTGGGATTACAGGCACATGCCACCACGCCTAGCTAATTTTTGTGTTTTTAGTAGAGATGGGGTTGCTCCATGTTGGTCAGGCTAGTCTTGAACTCCCAACCTCAGGTGATCCGCCTGCCTCAGCCTCCCAAAGTGCTGGGATTACCAGCATGAGCCACTGCACTCAGCCATGAACATCTTAATATGTCAGATAAAAATAGTCTCATGTGGAACTTTTAGGCCAAAAGGTATGGCCTTTTAAAGGACTTTTTGTTTTATTGTTTTTTACAGATGTTGCCCAGACTGGGATGCAGTGGTGCCACGCCTCATAGCTCATTGTAATCTCGAACTCCTGGACTCAAGCAACCCATCTGCCTCAGCCTCCTGAGTAGCTGGGACTATTTTACCCACCATGCCTGGCTAATTAAAAAAAATTTTTTTAGAGATAGGGTCTTGCTATGTTTCCCAGGTTATTCTCAAACTCCTGGGCTCAGGTGCTCCCAAAGCGTTGGGATTACAGGTTTGAGCCAACACACCTGGCCTTTAAGGACTTTTGCTAAACTGCTTTCCATGAGATTTCTATTTTCACCAGCAATGTATAAAATCTTTGTGTCACCTTATCCTCTCCCACAATGAATAGATATTATAATTTTAAATACCTTGCTAAGTTGATAGATTATAATCACATGCTGTTTTAGTTTTTATTTTCTTGATTGGTAATGAAATCGAATATTTTTCCAAATGTCATTTATTTGCATTTGCATTTTTGTAAAATTCGAAGTTCTGTTTATCTGTTAAAAACCATTTATCAGTTGATTAATTCAATTGTTGATTTGCATGCATTTTTAATGCCATGAAGGAATTATCTTTGTCTTTAATATTTATTATGAATATGCTTTCCACAAACTCATTTCTTACTTTAAATGTTGATAAATTTTTTGGATGGGATGGGCAGATTTTAGATTTTTTATAGAGTATTTAAACTTACAAAGTTTTTTCTCATTCAGTATCTGAAAAAATATTCAGATATATTTTTTCTGGTTTTATTTAAAAATTAATTTGAATTTTTAGCATATAACTTTTTTTTTATACTCGGGAATGAGTTTCTAACTTGATCATTGTTTTAGATAGTTCAGCCCCATTGGTTGGGTAATGCTACTTTTCCATCTGATTTGTAATCCACTTTTATTGGGCTCTCAATTGTTACATTCACAAAGAAAGATAATTTTTCTGAGATGTCTATTCTATTTCAACATTGTATCTATACTGAATCATTGCCACTTTACGTTAATTATAAGATGATATTAGTTCCCCTCCTTTACCCATTTATCTTCTCTCCTCCTTTCCTTTTCCTTCATTCCTCCCTTCCCTTTTTGTCTTCCCTTCCTTCCTTCCTCCTTCCTTCCTTCTCTTCTCTTTCCCTCCCTCCTTCTTTCCCTCCCTCCTTCTGTTCTCCTTCCTTGTCTCCCTCCTTCCTTCCCTCCCTCCCTCCCTCCCTCCTTCCTTCCCTCCTTCCTCCCTCCCTCCCTTCCTCCCTCACTTCCTTCCTTCCATCTATCCTTCTTGTTGCTATGCCTGTTTTTGGTCACACCTTCCACGTAACTGGAATTCTTACTTTTGTTATTCTCTCAAAGATGAGTAACATTCCTGAAGAAAAGATACATAAATAATGGATTTTCAGAGATCTTATTTTATATTTTTATTTTGCCTTTATTTGGCTAACTATGGAAGACCTTTTTCAGAATATTTCCCTTGAATGCTATGGACATTATATTCTGGCATTTAATATTGCTGTGTATAAGTTGAGTCCATCTATCCATCCATCCATCCAGAATAAGCTACATAATTTATAGGGTCCTGTGAAAAATGAGACTGTGAGCTCCGTGCTCAATAATTATTAATAATTTCAAGATGATGAAGGAGGTTCATTGAACTAAGGGTAGGACTCTTCTGAATGTAGGGCCCTGTGTGACTGCTTGAAGTCACCCTTGCAGCTATCCATCCATCGACACCCATCCTATGGCTACTTACTGAACATCCACTATGTGTTGTGTGCTTTGAAGGAAAGAAACCTCAAGGTACTGTCTAGTGAAGGACACAGGTGGTCATGAGGGAAGTGTGCACAGCTGCTGTGGTCATACAGGGGAGAGAGAAATCCATCAGGCACAGCTGCCAGAGACAGCTTTCTGGAGATGATACACTGATCCAAAGCTTTTGCTCTGAGTGATGTGGCGAGGCTTAGGACGGTTTTGAGCTCACAGGAGTGAACGTGCTGCAATCCAAGTGCTTTGAAAGGATCACTGTACTGCGTGGAAGACAGACGGTGCAGGACGAGCATAGAAGCAGTTAGGAAGCTATTGCAATGATCCAGGCAAGGGAAGAGGAAAATCATGACCTGGATCTGCATGGAGGCAGTGAGAAGCGGTCAGATCCTGAATATATTTTCAAGAAAGCACTATTAAGATGTGTTGATGAAACGGATATGAGGTATGAGAGAAAGAGAGTAGTTAAGAATGGCTTCAAGTTTTCTACCCTGATCAATGAGAAAAATGATGCCATTCACGGAAACGGGGAAGACTCGCAGGGGAACAGGTTTGGGGACAGATGAAACATTCAATTTTGGATGTGTTGCTTCTGATGCTTATTAAACAACCAAGTGGAGATGTTGTCCAGAGGGTTGGATCTACCATTCTAGATCTGGGTTTGGTTGACATGGGGGAAGAGAAGGGAGGGAAGAGGCTTTGCCAGTGAAGTTGCTACAGAAGAGTAGAGAAGAAAGACCTTTTTGATAAAATGTTCTTGGTGGCTGACTGGATATGTAGAATAAGGAAGCAGATTCAGAAAATGAAACTGACCAGTCTTTAAGGCCCCTTTGCCCCAGTCATGAACCAAACTATCATGAGGGGGATTGGATTTTGGAGTCATAGTTCTTTCTTTTGGAAAGAGCTTGTCTTGGAACTGTTTCTTCTAGTTTAGATTCCTGTGGGAGATGGTGAAGGTAATTTCTTGATATTTGTTTATGATGAAGAGAGAATGTGCTGTCATTGAAGTGTTGAATTATTAATGATTGAGGAGGAAATGACTTCTTCAGAAACACGAATTCTGAATGCCTCTTAGATGGAGGCCAGATAGTAAATTAGCTCTTTCAGTGACAGAACTAAAGAGTTGATGCAGATCGAAAAGGGATGTAGTGATTGCCTTCTGTGGGTCTAGGATCAACTTAGGATTTATGACATTCAGCACATTTTAGAATCTCTTTTCTCATAGTATCCATTACTCTGATTACCTTTTAGTAGCTGTTTTACAAGAATCAGAAAGTACGGTAGAGACTGTCTGCCATGTATGGTAGGGAGAAGGCTGGGTACTCTAGACCCAATGGATTTGGAGGGCAAACAGAGCATTTTTGATATCAAGGAAAGAGCTAAATGGGTCCCAGGCCACTCTAATCCAACATTGGGAGACAATGCTTCTTGTGTCTGACTGTCTTGTCACGGGAGTGTTGGTGAATTATGCATGGCAAAAGTCATGTAGGTGTCTGGGTTGTCTGGATTAGTCCATTTTCACACTGCTGCAAAGATACTATCTGAAGCTGCATAATTTATAAAGAAAGGAGGTTTAATTGACTCTCGGTTCTGCATGGCTGGGAGCCCTCAGGAAGCTTACAATCATGGTGGAAGGTGAAGGGGAAGCAAGGATATTTTACATGGAAGCAGGAGAGAGAGAGAAGAGGGGAAGTGCCCGACATTTATCTGACAACCAGATCTCACGAGAACTCACTCACTGTCATGAGAACAGCAAGGGGGAGAGTCACCCCATTCCAATCACCTCCCACTAGGATCCTCCTTCCACTCGTGGGGACTACAATTTGGGATGAGATTTGAGTGGGGACATAGAGTGAAATCATTTCATTGTCCCCTTTCAAAATTAAGAGAAAGTTTTGCACAGAAGGGAAATAGTGGGGCAGTGCACTTAGGTGGGGCTTGCAATGTGTGGTTCTGTCTTCAACAAGACATTTAATAAAGGGATAGCGACAACGGAGCCAACACATTTTCAAACAATGTGCTCACCTGGTGAGTGTGTGTGTGCGTGTGATAAGGTACTTGTTTTATTCTGCTCTTAATCATTCATTCACTTTTAAAGATGAGGGTAAGTTATCTAAGGACGATTGCTGAGCTCTGAAATGAATTAGAACCCATCTTTATTTCCAAGCCAATGATTTAAATATTATATAGCTCATTTATAATCGAATAAAACTGTGGTGGCTCTTTGTAGATTTTTGAAGCCATCTTCTCTAAGAAGCCTGTTTTGTTTTCTCTTTTTGAAATAAACATGAATTTGCATGAGAAGCAAGGAGCCTCTAAAAGAAATCAATAAAATTAACCGGAACTGGATTTCACACTTTGAATGCATTACGTCTTTCTGTTAGGGGAGAAATAAGAGAAGCTGAGGCTCATAAAAAAGTGACCTACTTGAAGAAGATGAATATTTAAAATAAGAGCTTTAAAAATAATTCACTTTGCATTGGTCACCATAGCTCAAAATAACAAGAAAACCTAACAAAAAGACAGGTTTCTCAGTATTGGGAAGGGAAGCTGGCACTGTCTTGAGGGCAATACTTATGTACCCAGGGGGAACACTAGGCTTGGAGTCTGAAAATCTGAGTTCAAGCTCTGGCACTGCTACTTAGTTTATTTGAGATATGTATTGGTCTGTTTTAACACTGGTGATATAGGCATACCTGAGACTGGGCAATTTACAAAGGAAAGAGGTTTAATGGACTCACAGTTCCACATGGCTGGGGAGGCCTCACAATCATGGCCGAAGGTGAAAGGTATGTCTCACATGGTGATAGACAAGAGAAGAGAAAGAAGAGAACTTGTGCAGGGAGACTCCCCTTTATAAAACCACTGGATTTTGTGAGATGTACTTACTGTCATGACAATAGCAAGGGAAAGACCAGCCCCCATGATTCAGTTATCTCCTACCAGGTCCCTCCCAAGACACATGGGGATTATGGGAGCTACAATTCAAGATGAGATTTGGGTGGGGACACAGCCAAACCATGTCAACATACCTGTTTTCATTTTGACCCTTAAAACTATTTTACTTTGTATTGCAAAAGACATTTGCTTTACTTGACATTAATGTTGAAACTGAACCTGCTTAATTTCTGCAGGGGCAGAATTGAAGAAAGACTTTAGGAGTTCAGGTCAAGCTAGGTCCTTAGAGTTGAGGGGCTGAGTAGGTGGAGTATGTGACTATGCAAACCTCCTTGGCTGGGTGGGACAGTGCAAGGATGTCCATGAAAGCTGCTCTTTTTTTTTCCACATGAAACTCTCTTCACCTCTTGTTTGCAAGGGCCCTCTGTAAATGGGTCATGTACCATGCGTTGCATAAACATGCAGAGAGGTGCTCACGGCATGTCCTGCTGAAGAGCTGTGCTTTGCAGAGTTGTAGTGACTTCATAGTTCAAATGTAGTGTGCACATCTGTTGATTTTTCTTTGCAAATGGATGTTGGTGCTCAAGGTAGAGCAGCCTTGTAGCGCTAAAGGAAACTTCTCTGTTCAGCTAAGTTCTGTATGTGCTTGGGCAAGTAGTTCTGAATTCCTTTGTGAATAAAATGGAAACTATGCCTATCAAATTTGTTCAGAAATCCACCTTTATTATTTACTTGGGCTTTAAGTTTTATTGTATTTTTTATTTATTTTGAGACGGAGTTTCGCTCTTGTTACCCAGGCTGGAGTGCAATGGCGCGATCTCGGCTCACCGCAACCTCCGCCTCCTGGGTTCAGGCAAGTCTCCTGCCTCAGCCTCCTGAGTAGCTGGGACTACAGGCGTGCAACACCATGCCCAGATAATTTTTGTATTTTTAGTAGAGACGGGGTTTCACCATGTTGACCAGGATGGTCTCGATCTCTTGACCTCATGATCCACCCACCTTGGCCTCCCAAAGTACTGGGATTATAGGCATGAGCCACCTCACCCTGCAAAGTTTTATTTTAAAAGAGTTTTGTTGGCCAGGTATGGTAGCTTATGGCCTGTAATCCCAGCACTTTGGGATGCCGAGGTGGGTGGATCACAAGGTCAAGACATCAAGACCATCCTGGCCAACATGGTGAAACCCCATCTCTACTAAAAATACAAAAATTAACTGGACATGGGGGCACACACCTGTAGTCCCAGCTAATCAGGAAACTGAGACTGGAGAATTGCTCCAACCTGGGCAACAAAAGCAAGACTCCTTCCCAAAAAAAGAAAAGTTTTATTAAAGTATAACTGACATACAATAAACTGCACATGTTTAAAGGGTACAATTTGATAAGCTTTAACGTACGCATGCACCAGTGAAATCATCCCCATGATCAAGTTAGTGACACATCCATCACCCCCAAAAGACTTTGTATGAATGCTGTGTAATGAATGAATGAATGAAAGTGAATGAACTTTTCCGTTTCCATAAAAATGTCCAGGATGCTGTTTTTCTCCTGCCTTTTCAAAGATGCAGATCAAGAAGGGATACAGTCAGTTTAAAGGCTGAAGCTCTATTATTATTTATTTTATTCTTTTGAGACAGGGTCTCGCTCTGTTGCCCAGGCTGGAGTGCAGTGGTGTTATCTCGGCTCACTGCAACCTCTGCCTCCTGGTTCAAGCGATTTTCATGCCTCAGCCTCCTGAGTAGCTGAGATTACAGGCATGTGCGATCACTCCTGGCTAATTCTTTCATTTTTAGTAGAGACAGGGTTTCACCTTGTTGGCCAGGCTGGTTTTGAACTCCCGACCTTAGGTGATCCACCCACCTCGGCCTCCCAAAGTGTTGGGATTACAGGCATGAACCACCGCACCCAGCCTGAAGCTTTAAAAAGGAGCTTATTTTGAAATTTGAGTGTACATGTGTGTGTGTGTGCGTGTGTGTGTGTCATGATGAGGGGTACTTGATATTTTAACATTGGCAAAGTGATGGCTGATTGAGAATTAAGTTGCCCCCAGATAATTCAAGGTGTATGATACATTTCTCCCTAGGAGATACAGATCAGGCATCATATGATTTTGATTTTTGCTTTTTAATTAAAGTTGATTAAACAAATGCCATTTTACTTTATAGCTATTTTAAATGACCTGTGCTTCTTAGTTCTCCCCCGCCCCTCCCTTTTTCTTCTTTATTTCTAGATAGGTCAGAGGCAGAATGTCCCAAACATATGATTAGTAGGATGTCTCTCTGGGAATTTTTTTCCCCTTAAAGTGCCTTAAAGTGAGTTTGAGGAAGAAACAGCGCAAAGGCAAAAATGTAAAAGAAGCTGTTTATCTCTGAATAATTCTTATAGAAAGATAATTTAAGTTTCATTAGAAATCTTTGATTTCCAATTACTTGGAAGTGAATGTGCTCATCATCAGTGTACTTTATTCAGTTTTCTGTGCTTTGTGAAAGTAGTGATCATAGAACGTAAAAATGTAAAATGCTCGGGCACGGTGGCTCTCGCCTGTAATCCCAGTGCTCTGGGAGACTGAGGTGAGAGAATTGCTTGAGGCCAGGAGTTCAAGACCAGTCTAAGCAACATAGTGAGACACCCCCTCATCCCCATAAAAAAAATTTAAAAACAAAATTAGCCACGAGTAGCTGTTACTAGGGAGGATGAATGAGGTGGGACGATAGCTTGAACTCAGCAGTTCAATGCTACAGTGAGCTATGACTGCACCACTGCACTCCAGCCTGGGCAACAGAGCAAGACCTGTTTCCAAAAACCAAAACAATAGAAGAATATGAAACATAAAACAAATGCAGACACATGTGTATCCCACTGTCACAGAATTTGTTGTGTAGTGCCAAAGATTTTTATATTCTGAAGTTTCTGTGCTCTTTACTTTTGCTTTATTTGCAGAAGATTCTGGGATATGGCTTGTAACTATATTAGAAACACACATGACGAGGTTGAATGTGGAAATGCAGCTGCATGTGTCATAAATCAGTCCTAGGGTTGCTGCTGGGCTTGGTCATAGCTTTTCTTTAACTAATTCTGGTGATCACATTTGTAAAGAGACAGGCAACATCATGAAGAACGGAGGGTTATGAGAATTTTATAGCCCGAACAATTTGAGTGAAAGTTTCTAGAGTGTTTTCTGTGACTATTTTTGACTTTCCATTGTCTGAGATTTACTTTCCAGAAAGGATGCACCCTCCCACCCCAGACCACCTATCCAGTCTTCATAATTAATTCTTTTCAGCTCCTGGATTACCTGGGTGTGGTAATGTGAGAGGGATTTTATAGAAGGGAACTGAGGAATAGATGGAAGAAAATCACATAGGACAGATGGAAAACAGGATACAGGAGAATATTAGAGGAGGGCAAACAAGTGAAAAGGAGAAGTTAAGACGTGTATGTCATCATAACTATGGATGAGGCTGGGTGTAGTGGCTCATGCTTATAATCCCAGCCCTTTGAGAGGCTGAGGGGGGAGGATCGCTTGAGCCCAGGAGTTGGAGACAAGCTGGGGCAACATAGTGAGACCCCATCTCTAAAAATAATGACCCAGGCATAGCATGTGCATCTGCAGACCCAGCTTACTCAGGAGACTGAGGTGGGAGGACTGCTTGAGCCTAGGAGTTCAAAGCTGCAGTCAGTTATGGTCACACCACTGCACTCCAGCCTGGATACAGAGACACATTCTTAAAAATAAATAAAGAAAGAAAGAACTATGAATGAAGTGAGCTAGACTTAGGAACAGACTCTAAGAACCCTGAAATAAACCTTTTCTGTCTCTGATATGATCTGTGATGTTGGGTTATCCCCAGAGCAATGGATAGAGGTCATCACAACTCCTCAGTCCCCAAGGCACCCTATGGGCCACTCCTCTGGAGTGAGAGCTACTGGGGCAAGACGTTATCACCATATCTCCAATTTTTACAGTGCCTTGGGCCTAATAGTAACTTCATGAATGTTTACTGGATAAATATAAGTCCCTAGCCTTGGAACTGCACTGAAACCCAGGATTTCTTAATAAATGAAGTAATCAGGCCAGGTGTGGTGGCTCATGCCTGTAATCTCAGCACTTTGGGAGGCCGAGGCAGGTGGATCACCTGAGGTCACAAGTTCAAGACCAGCCTGGCCAACATGGTGAAACCCTGTCTTTAAAAAATAAATAAATAAATAAATAAAGTAATCTGACAACTGAGATAAGTAGTTGTGGGTGGCTTTGAACTGTCCTAGTACTCCTGTTTGCTATGAAATGGGACTTTTGAAATGACATGTTGTTCTGTCCCAAAGGAGAGGAGAGAGACTGTGGAAGAACTGACAGCAGGAAAAGCAAAACTGAGAGAAGAAAATGGGGCCAGGAGAGGAGCAGATGCTAGAATGGAATTTGGGTTTTCTTGGCACTTCCAAGCTCCTGTACATTCCTTGCTATCCCAATTATGACTTGTCTGTTTTAAGAGGCTAGAAGTCTTTCCTGGTTGTAAGCCCACCTGTCGCAGCACCATGTAGCTGCTGGACACTGGCCCTGGACACTGACATGCGTGTCCCAGGAGCTCTGGAAGGATGTTATGCATTGATTTGGTTGTTTGAGTCTCAGATGCGGTAGTGCATGGGGGACCCTCAGGGATCCTCACGGTTTGGCGGAATGATTCTACATGTGACCCTGGTATCTCCAGTTATGTCACTGTGAAAAAAAGACAGATTTTGTACTTTTGGGGGTCATAGCATGACAGGAGACTGTGTCTCTTGGGCTGTGCATATTGTGATAAGGTAATGGGTATCATTGCTTAGTGGGAGGAGAGAGTATTAGTTTAATGATGGCTTTTAATATTAATTTAATGGTGATTTCTAATATTATTATTTTTCTTATTAAGAGTAAGCCACTCAATGGCAGGGTGTAGTGGCTCACGCCTGTAATCCCAGCACTTTGGGAGGCCAAGGCAGGTGGATCACTTGAGGTCAGGAATTTGAGATCAGCCTGGACAACATGACAAAACTTCTTCTCTACTAAAAATACACAAAATAGCTGGGTATGGTGGTACGCACTTGTAATTCCAGCTACTTAGGAGGTCAAGGGAAAAGGATTGTTTGAACCTGGGAGGTGGAGGTTACAGTGAGTCAAGATTGTGCCACTGCACTCCAGCCTGGGTGATAGAGTGAACTCTGTTTCAAAAAGAGGAAAGAAGAAAGAAAAGAAAAGAAAGAAAGGGAAGGAAGGAAGGAAGGAAGGAAGGAGAAGGAAGGAAAGAAAGAAGGGAAGGAAGGAAGGAGAAGGAAGGAAAGAAAGAAGGGAAGGAATGAAGGAGAAGGAAGGAAAGAAAGAAGGGAAGGAAGGAAGGAAGAAAGGAAAGAAGGAAGGAAGGAAGGAAAGAAGGAAGGAAGGAAGGAAGGAAAGAAGGAAAGAAGGAAGGAAGGAAGGAAGGAAGGAAGGAAGGAAGGAAGGAAGGAAGGAAGGAAGGAAGGAAGGAAAGTTACTCAAGCTCAGGGTACTTTTTTCTTATTTTGTTCATATTATGACCTTAATTTCAGAGCAGTACTTGGCACAGAGTAAGCATTCAATAGATGCAGTTCAGTGCATGAATCTATTGAATATATAAGTGCATTGAATGGGAGCTCAAGAGAGAAAACTGGGGAGAGAAGGCAGTTTCTTGTTTCCACTGTTTTCTTGAAGGTGACTTAAGAGATTCTTCAGTACCTGCTGTGCCCCAGTGCAATGCTAGACATGCAGTTGATAAAGACAGGTAAAGCCCTTGAGGGGCTCATACACAGACAGGAGAGGGTTGGGGATATGAAAAGCATAGCCTCTCAGAGTGCTACTTTGAGTTCTGCTCCAGGTGCCTGAGGAGTCCTGGTAAGATCTCCAGGTTCGGGGAGGCTTCAGAGGAAGGGACAGCTGATCTGAGTGTTGATACCTTCATAGGTTAGCAGAGAAAGAAACCAGGGGGAAATTCCTGTAAGCAGAGACCGTGATGGCACGATGGCTTGGGGGTGTGAGATGTCAGGGGTCTGCACGTGGTTAGAACAGCCTGGGGCTCTGGGGACCTTTGGGAAGGTGGCTCAGACAGCAGAAGCCACACGAAGAAGAGGCTAGGGTGTCTTGCTTAGGAATTTGCATTTCTGTCTTTGGGAGCAATGGAAGGTTTATTTCCACTTTTGAAAACTTTTAAATGAAAAATTTCAAACATGCATGCAAGTAGAAAGGACCATATTGATATTAAGGAGCTTAACCCTAGATTCTACAATTAATGTTTTGCCATGTTTGGTTATCTATCTATCTATCTATCTATCTATCTATCTATCTATCCATCCATCCATCCATCCATCCATCCATCCATCTATCCATCCATCCATCCATCCCTCTACCTGTCCTTCCACCCATTAATCCATCTATTCATCTATCTATCCATCTATTTATCCATCCATCCATCCCTATCACTGTCTCTCCACCCATCCATCCATCTATCCATCCATCCGTTTGTCCATCCATTCATCTATCCATCAGTTATCGATCTCTATAAATATATCATCTATCTCTATCAATTATCTAGTTATCTGTTTTTATCATCTACCTAGATCTATTCATTTACATAATCTGTCAATCTCTATTATATATTATTTATCTATATCATCCATCTATCCATCTCTCATTTATCTATCTGTCATCTATCTATCTATGTATCTATCTATCTAAATTTGTAGGATTTTATGCAGGGGAGTTACTGTGTCTTAGAGGGTTTCTCTGAGAGGTACATGGAGTATGAAATAAAGAAGGAAGGGGATGGAGTTTGGGAAGACTCATTGAGAGTTTCTTGAAATTGAGATGAGAGGTGGTGGTGGCCTGAACTAAAATTGAGCAACTGGGCTGGAGAATGGAGAGCTCAGACATATTTATGGAGGTATTCTAGTGATGATGTCTAACAGACCGTCCAAAAACTTAATAGCTTAAAATGATGACAACAGGCCAGGCATATGGTGGTGCCTGCCTGTAGTCCCAGCTACTCAGAAGGCTGAGGCAGGAGGAATGCTTGAGTCCAGGGGTTTGAAGCTGCAATGAACCATGTTTGTGCCACTGCCCTCCAGCCTGGGCAACAGAGTGAGACACTATCTCAAAAACAGAGACAATGTTTACCTTTCTTACAGCTCTTCAATTTGGACAGAGCTTGGCAGGATGAACTTGTTTCTGGTCTACTGGATATCACTTGTAATGGCTTAAATGTGAAATGTGGAGGTCTGCGGTCATTTGAAGCCTGTCACTCCTGTCTGGCTGGTTAATGCTAGCTCTCAGCTAGGATCTTATTTGGAGCACCCATGTATGGCCTCGACATGTGGCCTGGGAGCCTTCACAACATGGTATCTGGATTATGAGTGTGAGTGGGGAGGAGGAGGGAGAGAATGAGAACACCAAGTAGAACAATACAGAATTTTAGGACGTAGCCTCTGAAGTCCCCATATACTGTCACTTTTGCCCCGTTCTGTTCATCAACCAGTTCATGAGGAAGAAGATTATCTCCTCCTCTTTATGTGGTATGGCAAGTTCTCAAAATGTTGCTGTGGCTATTTTTTTGAAAACACAGCCTGTCCAGGGGCTGAAGTGGCAGGATTTAATCGTTGGGTATGTGTAATGGGGAAGAGCAAAAAATCTGGGCTGACACCGAGTTTGGATTCATGTCTCCAGCGTGGGGTGTGTCATTCACAGAGAGGGCAGTGCGAGTGGCAGGACAGGAAAGGGGAACGATGAAGATGGAGTTAGATTTCGGGTCCCATTGATTTGTTAGGAAATAGTGCATCAGGATAGCTTCATGAACTACAAACTCACAGAGGAACAGACAAACAGGTTTCCTAGTTTTTGGACAGCTTTGAGCTGAACAGAGTTTGCTGGCCTCTGTGCATCCCTACAGGAGACAGTTGTGTACCCTGAGCCTGAGTGGAGGTGGCAGGTGTTTGATGTACCCCAAGCCTGCTGGGGAGGATGTGGCCCTCAGCATTTGCTTCCCTCCATGGAGGTAGAGCAGCTAGGGAGATGCAACGTTCATTGATTTCATCCAGTAGGCATTTATTGAGCACTCGTATGCTAAAAATAAAAGAATTTGAGTATACATTAAACACTATGCCTGCCTTAAAGAGCTTTGTCTCTAGAAGTGAGGTCACATGCTCATGTTAAGCTCTGAATGTAGTTACTAAAAGGACAGAGCTCTGAGCAGAAGCAGATGTAATATGCATTTGCTGGGCTTTTTCCTTGCTTCTGGGTTCTCCATGGGGTGCACTGTTGCTGGTGTCTCTTCTGGAGCATGTAGGGTCCTGTCTAAGAGGGGAGGCCATGCTACTGTCCTCACTCATTTGGGGACATTTACGGACACTGAGCTCTTTTATCAGAGCTCAAATGCTGTTCTGGGAGCTCCGCTGTTTTGTGCAGAGCTGCTGGGCAGGTATTTTTAAATCTGCTGCAGTGGAGCTCATAACTGCCTCTTTTCCCAGGTGCTCTGTCCTGGGAAGATGGGGCATTATTTTAAGTTCCTGATGTGCTGCTGACTTTTTTCAGAGATGCCTGGCCCAGCAAAGAGGTAGTCTAGTCACAGTCTGCCAGCAGAGGCGGTGCTGAGCTGCCATGGGCTCTGCCCAGCTGCTGTGTGAACTTCCTTGCGGTTTTGTTTACAGAGGTGCAGTTAGAACTGCCTCGGTAATGGCAGTCTGCCTCAGTAATCCAGACACTGAGCTCTTTTGGTATCTAAACCAAAGTCAGCATTAGCAGGCTAGTTTCCCTCCCTAGCCTCCCATTCTCCCTTGGGGAATAAGGCAGAGCTATATGTGCTTGATCAGTATCTGTGTCTCCAGTCACTCAAGGTCTTAGAAAGCCTGTTCCTCTGGGAACCCCATCCCACTCAGCCCTCACTCTCAGCTTCCCATGTCTGGACTCTAATTTTGTCTAATTTTTCCTTGGGTGGTTCTGATACTGAGTTTATTTGAAAACCATGGCTCAAAGTTTGATTCCTTGTAGCTTGTACTGAAACAACTATAATTCAAGTTAGAAAGCAATGAAATACTGATGCAGTTTAAGAGAGGGAAGAAGTCCTTCTGCCTGGGGAGAAGGGGGAACGTTTCAGGGAGTGGGCGTTAGAGCTGTACTCTGAATGTTAGGTAGAGCTCGACATACACAGATGACAGAAAAGACATTCCAGTCAGAGGGCCAGCATGGAAAAAAGCAAGGAACAGGATAGAGTTTTTTTTTTTTTTTTTTTTTTGAGACGGAGTTTCGCTCTTGTTACCCAGGCTGGAGTGCAATGGCGCGATCTCGGCTCACTGCAGCCTCCGCCTCCTGGGTTCAGGCCATTCTCCTGCCTCAGCCTCCTGAGTACCTGGGATTACAGGCACGTGCCACCATGCCCAGCTAATTTTTTGTATTTTTAGTAGAGACGGAGTTTCACCATGTTGACCAGGATGGTCTCAATCTCTTGACCTCGTAATCCACCCGCCTCGGCCTCCCAAAGTGCTGGGATTATAGGCTTGAGCCACCGCGCCCGGCCCCAGAGTTGTTTTTTTAAAGTTAATTTTACCAATAATTTGTTTATATGAGCATGCATACAGCTTGTGTCAGGTTATTTTTATGTCTTAAAATTATTAAAATTATTTTGATATTTCTGCCTGCGTATATGAAGACATTTAGTTTTATCAAGAAACTGGAGTATAGCCATCCAAACGAATGTAGACTAGAAATTATAATCCATATGTATTTATGTTAAAAGGAAGAAAAATAAAGCAGGAAGGGAAGAGTTGCTTGCTTGATGATTTAAGTAACCTTCTAAATGTGTCTGTTTTTCCTGTGGCCCTCTGTCTTTAATTCAGAGACCACCGTATACATTTCATGTCCATTGGTATTCATTCCCTCCTAGATACCTGACATACCACCTAGAGTCATTTCCTTTCTGTCTGAAGAAATTCTTTTAGAATTTCTTGTAGTGTGGGTCTGCTTATAATAAATTCTCTAATTTTCTTTATTTGAAAATGTTTACATTTTATTTTCATTTCTGAAGAATAGTTTTATTATATACAGAATTCTGGGTTGACAGTTTTTAAAAATTCTGTACATTAGAGATATCATTCTGTAGTTTTTTGGTTTCCATGGCTTCTGATAAGTTCATCATCATTTGTATTATTGTTCCCCTGTATGTATTTTGTCATTTTTTTCTGGCTGTTTTCAAGATTTTCACTTTGTATTTTAGCAGTTTTCCTAGAGGTAGTTTTCTTTACACTTATCCCTGCTTGGGTTTTGGTGATCTTCTTGAATCTTTAATTTTGTCTTTCACTACATTTGTAAGTTGCAGACCTATTTCTTCATGTCTTTTCGCTCTAGTCTCTCTCTCCTTTCCGCTGGGACTCTAAATTTAAGAAGTGTATTGAATGGACTGATATTGTCACACAGGTCTGGGAGGCTGTGTTTGTATTTTTTTTTTCAGTCCTTTTTTTCTTCTCTGCTTTTCAGATTGGGTGGTTTCTGTTGATCTGTCTTGAAGCTCCCAGATGCTTCTGCTGTCTCTGATATGCTGTTACTCCCATTCCAGTTAGTGTATACTTTACTTCTAGATGACTCTTTTTTCATAGTTTCTGATTTGGAAAGGGGTTAGATCCCCCATCTGTTCATTCATTGTGTATATATTTTTTATTTAAAATTCTTGGAAATATGTATAATAGCTGCCTTATTGTTCTTATCTACTAATTTCAACATTTGGATCTTCTTTGGGCTGATTTAAAAAAAAAAGATTATTTTCAGGCTGGGCGTGGTGGCTCAAGCCTGTAATCCCAGCACTTTGGGAGGCTGAGGTGGGTGGATCATGAGGTCAACAGATCGAGACCATCCTGGTCAACATGGTGAAACCCCGTCTCTATTAAAAATACAAAAAATTAGCTGGGCATGGTGGCGCGTGCCTGTAATCCCAGCTACTCAGGAGGCTGAGGCAGGAGAATTGCTTGAACCTAGGAGGCGGAGGTTGCGGTGAGCTGAGATCACGCCATTGCACTCCAGCCTGGGTAACAAGAGCGAAACTCCGTCTCAAAAAAAAAAAAAAAAGATTTTTTTCCTTGAGTTTGGACTATATTTTTCCATTTCATCACCTGTCTAGTGATTTTTGATCAGTTCTTGAACACTACTAAGTGTATGTTGTGGAGACTCTGGATCCTGCTATATTCCTTTCAACTGATTTTTATCTAACACAGAGTTAACTTGGCTGGGCTCAAACTCAAACTTGGTCCCTTGGGCTAGCTTATGTGAAAGGAGAATATCTTGGGTTTCCAAAATCCCTAAACAAAAGGGAAAAGCCAAGCTGGGAACTGCTTAGAGCAAGCCTGCCTCCCATTCTATTCAAAGCCACCCCTCTGCTCATTGAGATAAATGCATATCTGATCACCTCCTTTGGAAAGGCTAATCAGAAACTCAAAATAATGAAACCATTTGTCTCTTATCTACCTATGACCTAGTAGAGGAGGCTACATACTTTGAGTTGTCCTGCCTTTCCAGACCAAACCAATGTTCATCTTACATATGTTCATTGATGTCTCATGTCTCCCTAGAATGTTTAATACCAAACTGTGCTCTGATCACCTCAGGCACATGTCATCAGGACCCCCTGAGGTTGTGTCACGGGTGCTCATCCTCAACCTTGGCAAAATAAACTTTCTAAATTAACTGAGACCTGTCTCTGATTTTGAGGTTCACACCAGGCAGCAGCTGACATCTCCACTCTTTCTTTCAACTTCCAGCTGCTGCTCTTTCACCATACACCTGTGGTTTCTCACATCCATGTGTAGACTCATGGTGAGCCAAGGATTTGTACGGATTTCATACATGGATTTTGCGGGCTCGCACCATCTACAGTGGCCTGCCTCCCAGGGTTCCACCTCTAACTTTCTGGCTGTTCTTCTAGCCCCCAAGTTTTTTTCTAACACATCATGCCAGTTACTATTCTGGATCTCAGGCAAAAGACGGCTACACACTCACAAATCTTAACTTCTCCAGTTGTCTTTCAAGGATGCTCCTGTTTTCTTTCTGCCTGCTTTTCATCACTCTCTGGACCCCTAACTAAGTTTATTTAAAACATATTTTGTTCACATTTGATAATTGTTACCCACAGGAGGTTTGGTATTTACAAGCTACTCTGACATTACTGGACACCAGAGTCAACTATGAGATGTTGTGGTTTAAATAGCTTTATTGAGGTATAATTGATAAAATAAACTGTACTTAAATTATACAATTAGACGTTTTAATATATGTTTACACCTTGATGCCATTGCTATAATCAAGACACAATGAGTTTTGTTTTTTGTCTTTTTTTGAGACATTGTCTCACTCTGTTGCTCACGCTGGAGTGTAGTGGTGCAATCTTGGCTCACTGCAACCTCCAACTCAGGGGTTCAAGCAATTCTCCTGCCTCAGACTCCCTAGTAGTTGGGACTACAGGCACACACTGCCACACCGGCTAATTTTTGTATTTTAGTAGAGATGGGGTTTTACTGTGTTGCCCAGGCTGGTCTTCAACTCCTGAGCTCAGGCAGTCCTCCCGCCTTGGCCACCCAAAGTGCTGAGATTATAGGTGTGAGCCAGCCACCGTGCCAGGCCAACAAGTTTTTGAGTTTTATTACGAATTCATGTGCAGATGAATGGTGGGAAAGAAGGCTCCTTCACATTGACCTCCTGCTTTCTATTTCACAGATTGCTTTCAAATGCAGTCACTCATTTTGATCTTCACAATGCCCTTGGAAATATGGAGTCATTCTTAATATCACCCTTCTGCAGATGAAAAACTGCAGTGGACATGTTAAATGGCTTGCCCTTTCCATGTTTCCTTACACCAGTACACACCTGGGAGATGCATACATGGTGCTCCACAGCTCCAGGAGTTTTGTTTCATTTCAGCTGAGAGACAAAACTGCTCAGAGCTGGGGAAAATCAGTTTGGGATGGAGAAGTTGGAGCCATGAAAGCAGAGTGGTGGCGTTTGGATGGTGTGCCTGAGAAGGGAAGGGCTTGGGGAAGAACAGAGGCCAGGAATTCAGTCTGGGAAGCAGGTGTAACAAGAGATATTATACAATGTGATGAGCATGGTCATTGTGGAAATAATAGGTTGTGCACAAGTAATTGCAGTTTTCCCATGAAAAGTCATGGCCAGGCCAGGTGTGGTGGCTCATTTCTGTGAAACCTGCACTTTGGGAGGCTGAGGCAGGTGGATCAATTGAGGCCAGCAGTTTGAGACCAATGTGTCCAATATAGCGAACCCTGCCTCTACTAAAAACACAAAAAATTAGCCAAGTATGGTGGTGCCAACCTGTAGTCCCAGCTACTTGGGAAGTTGAGGCAGGAGAACTGCATGAACCCTGGAGGCGGAGGTCGCAGTGAGCCAAAATCACCACTGGACTTCAGTCTGGGAGACAGAGCAAGACTCATCTCAAAAAAAAAAAAAAAACCGTCAAGGCTAAAACCGCAATTCCTTGTGCACCAACCTAGTATTAATAGAAAAGGAAAACAGATATTGGAGCACTTTCGAAAGAGGAACTGAGAGGAAACAGGAGGCTGGATATAGGAGTGAGAAGAAGAGGAAGGGTCAGGGGCAGCCTTTCTTTTCATTCTTGGCCCCAGGGCCTTTCACTGAGCCTGACACATAGTACTTAGTAAATGTTAGTTGAAATAAATTAGCTGGTGATGAGAAGGATGAGGGGGTGATATTTGCTGATGAACCATTAAATTGACACTATCTGAGTATGCATGAGAATCACCATGATGGGGGCTGGGCATGGTGGGTCATGCTTGTAATCCCAGGACTTCCAGAGGCCAAGGAAGGAGGATGACTGCAGGCCTGGAGTTCAAAACCAGCCTTAGGTTAACTTAGTGAGATACCATACCTATAAAAAAGTAAAAATAAAAGAAAAGTAGCCAGACATAGTGGCACACACCTATAGTCCCAGCTACTCAGGAAGCTGAGGCAGGAGGATCACTTGAACCCAGGAGTTCAAGGCTATAGTGAGCTATGATGGCACCACTGCACTCCAGCCTGGGCAACAGAATGAGACCTGACTTTATTTTTTAATTTTCAATTTTTTTGAGACAGAGTCTTGCTCTGTCACCAGGCTGAAGAGCAGTGGCATGACCTCAGCTCACTGCAACCTCTCCGTCTCGGGTTGAAACGATTCTCTTGCCTCAGACTCCCTAGTAGCTGGCACTACAGGCGTGTGCCACCATACTCAGCTAATTTTTTTTTGTATTTTTAGTAGAGATGGGCTTTCACCATGTTGCTCAGGATGGTCTCCATCTCTTGACCTCATGATCCACCCAACTCAGCCTCCCAAAGTGCTGGGATTACAGGCATGAGCCACTGTGCTTGGCTGACCCTGACTTAAAAAAAAAAAAAAGAGAGAGAATCACTAATTAGCACATGGTGGGTCCTATCTGAGTTTCTGGTTCAGTAAGTCCCCAGAATTTGCATCTTACCTAAGAGCAAACGGTGACATGTTCTGCTAACCCTCCTGGTCCAGGGCTGTACTTGGAGATCCAGTTGTACAAAGTCATGAGAACAGTTTTGAATTCTGCTGCTTCCCCTTTATGCTCCAGGCTGCGCAGGAGTATTTTTCTCCCAGTGTTGTCTTCTGGCACTGACAGTCAGAGAGGTGTCCTTGGGATCGTTAATCAGCATTTAACATTTGTAGGAAATCTACTTTATTACTTTTCTTAAACTCTGGAGCTCAGAGTCTTGTTTCTGAAGCCTCTCGGGTAACATTTTGTGAACATAGCATGTTCTGCCACAGATTCTTCTCGAGCAGATGAGGAGGCTTTCCAAATGTTACAGCAGATCTTGTGTCACGGAGAGGGCAGAGCTGGGCCACTCCAGCAGCTGACGGATTGGGGAGGGACTTCTGGGATTACGTTATGCTCATTTGCTAACCTGCAAAATTATGACTGCAGGTATCATGCGGTAGGGCACGCTGGTCTTCTTGTCCATTTGTCAGGGTCGTCCCGGGTTGCTGTTTGGACTCAAAAGAAAAGAATCTTTCCCTGTTCAGGATCACTTTATGTTTTCAGGCTTTGCAAGCTGGCCCTTTGGGATGCAGAGGGCAATGGTTTCTTAGAACAGACCATGTAGATTTCATGCCAGAGTACTGCAGGGCTGTTAGGGCATTGTGGATCTTGCAGAGTTTCGTGATTCTTTGATGATTTGATGACCCAGACGTGCAGTGTGACAGGTGTGCAGTTTTTCAATTTAGCATCAGTGCAATGCAGAAGCTGTGCCAGAGAAGATGAAGTGACCCGGTCGCCTTTTTTTTTTTCTCAAGGAATGGAGCCTTGTGCTTGGGGGCACATTCACTCTCTAGCAGGGCGGTTCACGATTTCACCCATCTGGTACTAGGTAGCTGATGGCTTTGCTGTCTTCATACAGTTCTTCCCACTGTAGCTCTTGAAGACAGAAGGAATCACTCCTGAGCAGTTCCCACTGATGTTGGCCTGCTGTGCTACTGGGACACACAACTGCTCTTTCCCCAGTTCCTTCCTCTCTGTTTAAATGGCATTTCTATTACAAAGGGTCCCACTCTCGCATTTTTTAGGTCAAGGGACTTCCTGGGGGTATTGAATTCCTCCTACATAGAAGAGTGTTCCTGTTAAGATGGTCCCCCAGGTAAGAGTGGATTCCAGGTATTCCTCTCCAAGACCCTGAGGTCAGATGCCTCCAAGAATTCCCCATGGAGCTCCCCCCAGCCAGAATCCAATGTCTGCTCCCTTTCTGAAAAATACTCACATCATGCACTTTGGGAGCCCGAGGTAGGTGGATCACCTGAGGTCAGGAGTTCGAGATCAGCCTGGGCAACATGGTGAAACCCCCATCTCCACTAAAATACAAAAATTAGCTGGGCATGGTGGCGGGTGCCTGTATTCCCAGCTACTTGGAAAGCTGAGGCAGAAGAATCACTTGAACCGGGTAGGCAGAGGTTGCAATGAGCCGAGATCGCACCATTGCACTAAAGCCTGGGCAACAAGAGTGAAACTTCATCTCAAAAAAACAAAAACAAAAACACACACACACACACAAAGCAGTGGCAGGGACAACCACATCTTCACTAAGAAGTACTGTGAGTTACAGACTGAATTGTCTCCCCCTAAATTCATATGAAGTCCTAACCTCCAGCACCTGGCTCAGAATACAACCCTATTGGGAGATAAGATCGTTAGAGAGGCGATTAAGTGAAAATGAAGGTGTCCTTAGAAGAAGAGGAGATTAGGACACTGACATGCACAGAAGACCATGAAAGGCAATGGAAGAAGGCGGCCATCTACAAACCAAGGAGAAACTGCCCTCAGAAGAAACCAACCCCACTGACACCTTCATCTCAGACTTCCGGTTTCCAGGACTAGGAGAGCATCCATTTCTGTTGTGTTGAAGCCACATAGCTGTGTTATGGCTGCCCTAGTGGAGTAATACACAGTGTCGTGGTGATGGAGTAACCCAGATCCTCTAACCACTCGATGATTTGATCTCTGGTAGCTTGGGCGCTGGGGCCAAATTACACTGGCCTCTCCAGCTGTGCTCTCCTGACCTTTCTAGAAAGCTTATCATCAGAGCCCATCTGCTAGCTGATGTCACCAACACACACTCTACTGCGGGTAAATCCTCCCCATCATGAGCCCAAGCATCTAAGGGCCTTACCCTCTTAAGACAGGCTCTGTTGAATTAGAAAGTGCCCTGCTGACCCAGCTCTCAGACTTCCCTTCCTCTCTCCCAAGGTGGGAAATAGCTTGTTCCTTGGAAAGGGCCATGCACTCTTGCCCTTCTTGGTTTTACTGTATGACAGGTATTATTAAAGACCCTTGTTACATTAGCCCCTGTGTAACCATACCTGCAAGTGCTGCGTCAGTTGCATTAGCTAGAGTTTTAAATTGACTTAGAGCAGCACTAAAAATAGCGTGGGAGGGATGGAGTTTAGGGCAGTGTGTAAGACTTCTGGGTCTGCTGCACAAGCCCTGTGAGCTGGGGGCATTCTCTAATTTTCTTCCCTTTCCTTTCCCCTCTCCTTTCCTTTCACCTCCCTCCCTCCCTCCCTCCCCCCTTCCTCTCTCTTGTCTCTCTCTCTCTCTCTGTTTCTTCTGGAGACAGGGTCTCTCTCTGCCACCCAGGCTGGAGTGCAATGGTCTAATCACGGCTCACCGGAGCCTTGACTTCCTGGGCTCAGGTGATCCTCCCACCTCAGCCTCCCAAGTAGCTGTGAGTACAGGCACACGCCACCATGCTCGGCTAATTTTTATACAGACAAGGTCTCCGTTGCTCAGGCTGGTCTTGAACCCCTGAGACCAAGCAATCCTCCTGCGTTGGCCTCCCAAAGTGCTGAGCCCTTGTGCCTGCCCCATTCTTTCATTTTCTACAACTCCATTTCCCTGTCTGCAAAATGCAGCTAATAATCATAGTCCTAGCGTCGATGTGAAGTTTAGAGAGAAAGGATATGAAGCACAGGCTGTATCTCGCACAAACACTCAGGAAATGTTGGTGAGCTGTTAGGATGATGACCTTCGTGGTAAAGACCTCCCAGATAATTTAAGATTCCTTTATACCGTCTGAATCAACAGAGCTGCAGTGAATGTTGACGGTTAAAACCCGCGTTACTTGTACTTCACTCCACTTAGGTTTTCAAACAACGGTAATCCATGTAAAGAAACTGTACGCTGGCCGGGCGCGGTGGCTCACGCCTGTAATCCCCGCACTTTGGGAGGCCCAGGCAGGCGGACTGCTTGAGCTCAGGCGCTTGAGACCAGCACGGGCAACGTGGCAAAACCCATCTCCGCCGGGTGCGGTGGCTCACGCCTGTAATCCCAGCACTTTGGGAGGCTGAGGAGGGTGGATCACGAGGTCAAGAGATCGAGACCATCCTGGTCAATATGGTGAAACCCGTCCCTTCTAAAAATATAAAAAATTAGCCAGGCATGGTGGCGCGTGCCTGTAATCCCAGCTACTCAGGAGGCTGAGGCGGGTGGATCACGAGGTCAAGAGATCGAGACCATCCTGGTCAACATGGTGAAACCCGTCCCTTCAAAAAATATAAAAAATTAGCCAGGCATGGTGGCACGTGCCTGTAATCCCAGCTACTCAGGAGGCTGAGGCAGGAGAATTGCCTGAACCCAGGAGGCGGAGGTTGCGGTGAGCCGAGATCGCGCCATTGCACTCCAGCCTGGGTAACAAGAGCGAAACTCCATCTCAAAAAAAAGAAAAAGAAAGAAACTGTGTACGCAACCCTAGTTTTGGAACAAAGAGGATTCTGCTTTTTTGAGCCTTTAAGCCCTTAATTCAATATTTTCTGGCTAATTTCCATATGTTATTTTAAGCCAGAAGCCAAAATTGCATCCCTGTCTACTTTCCCTTCCCCCTTATTTCCTCCAAGAGGAGTGAACACGTACCTGCTTGGTCCAGAATCCGGGAGTCAGACGAGGTCACGTTTCTGGAGGTTGGGCCGCTGCCGGTGAGAGGTTAGGGTGCAAGTGTGGCCCCCGCTCCCTGTCCCTCCGCCGCAGGCCTCAGCGAGCCTCTGCTTCCAAGCGTCTTACTGTCTGTGCTCTTCTTCTGTGGATGGTTCACGGCCTTAAGTCCTAGCTGGAGAGTGTACGAGTGTGACCGGGTGGGCCGGGCGCGGTGGCTCACGCCTGTAATCCCAGCCCTTTGGGAGGCCGAGGTGGGTGGATCACAAGGTCAAGGGATCGAGACCATCCTGGTCAACATGGTGAAACCCCGTCTCTACTAAAAATACAAAAAATTAGCTGGGCATGGTGGTGAGTGCCTGTAATCCCAGCTACTCAGGAGGCTGAGGCAGGAGAATTGCCTGAACCCAGGAGGCGGAGGCTGCGGTGAGCTGAGATCGCGCCATTGCACTCCAGCCTGGGTAACAAGAGCGAAACTCCGTCTCAAAACAACAACAACAACAGAGTGTGATCGGGTTGCGGGACGCGGGCGAGGCTCAGCTCCCCGACGGGAGGTGCCCGCGCGTGCTCGGGCCCTTGGGCTCCCGTGCGGGCAAGAATGGGTAGGAGGCCCTGGCGCCGTGATACCGTCCAAGTAAATACCGGACCCCAAGAGCTTCTGCAGAAAAGCGATTTATCAGGCAGAGAGAGAAAGAGGAGTGGAGAGGGACGGAGATTAAAGCCAGGTCCCCCGCTGCTGTGGGACGGGATCCCGGAAGCGGAAAGCCGCCGCGCACGTGAGGGGCGGGAGGTCTTTTAACGTGGCGCTTACTCCCGCCCCATTCAAGTTCTCGTCCTATGAGAGGAGTTTCTTTAAACTTCCGTTGGAATGACTGATCTTTGATTCTGACACCTGATTGGCTGTTTGGCCCAGAGTCCGCCCATAGCTTTTGGCGGGTGTTTCTACTGGGTGAGGCTCACCTGGCCGGTCTCCCTTCCCGGGCGGGCGAAACTTCGAGAAAGACCTCTCAGCTCCCGGACGGAGACGGGAAGGAAGGCAGGTCAGGCGCGGGGAAGTTCTCCTCTTTGAAACCACGCCCCTGTGCACCCCGTAAGAAAAGTTAACACATTCCTTCAAGAGCTTTTCAGGCTTGGGCTTACGTTCCCTGAGGCAAGAAAGGCTGGGCCACCTGTAGCCTGGCTACTCCTTTTGTTTTCTCAGCTCACCGCAACCTCCGCCTCCCGGGTTCAAGCGATTCTGTTGCCTCAGCACCCCGAGTTGCTGGGACAACAGGTACCTGCCACGACACCTGGCTGACTTTTTTTTTTTTTTTTTTTTTTGAGACGGAGTTCCGCTCTTTTTACCCAGGCTGGAGTGCAATGGCGCGATCTCGGCTCACCGCAACCTCCGCCTCCTGGGTTCAGGCAATTCTCCTGCCTCAGCCTCCTGAGTAGCTGGGATTACAGGCACGCGCCACCGTGCCCAGCTAATTTTTTGTAATTTTTAGTAGAGACGGGGTTTCACCTTGTTGACCAGGATGGTCTCGATCTCTTGACCTCGTGACCCACCCGCGTCGGCCTCCCAAGTGCTGGGATTACAGGCGTGAGCCACCGCGCCCGGCCGATTTTTGCATTTTTAGTAGAGACGGGGTTTCACTATGTTGGCTAGGATGGTCTCGATCTCTTGACCTCGTGACCCACCCGCGTCGGCCTCCCAAAGTGCTGGGATTACAGGCGTGAGACGCCACGCCTGGTCTGGCAACTCCTTCTATGCGGACGAGCCTGTGTTTCTCTTTATTTTTCCTTTTACTTCCCCAAGGTGAATGTTCGAGTAGAGGCTTCCTTGACTGTCATTCCCCAGGTCCTCTTCCTGTTTCCTCTCGGGTTTGGATTTAAAAGCAAAGCTTAAACCTCTGACAGAGGCTCCCAGCTGGGGTGTGAGAAGGCGCCCCCGCAACAAAGGCGCGATAACTCCAAGTTTTAGGACATACTTAATTTGTTATTGCTGTTTTGTTTTTAGAGACAAGGTCTTTCTCTGTCACCCAGGATGGAGTGCTGTGGCGGGATCACAGGTCACTGCAGCCTCGAACTCCTGGGCTCAAGTGATCCTTCTGCCCCGGCCTCCTGAGTAGCTGGGCTATAGGCACATGCCACCATGCTTGACTAATTATGTTCTTTCTTTTTTTTTTTTTTTGTAGAGATGGGGATCTTGCTGTGTTGCCCAGGCTGGTCTCAAACTCCTGGCCTCAAGCAATCCCTTCACCTCAGCCTCTTTAAAATTGTGAACTCAATATGTAGATCTGGCATAAAGACGTTGAGAAACTTGAGAGGAACAGGTGGAAACTTATTCTGAGTTATGCTCACTTCTCTCTGCTTCATTTATTCGTATCATTGCTAGTTTTGTTCACTAGTCATGTTTTCAAAGTAGCCACAAAAATAAATTGTTTCCTAATATTATTTCCAGCTCTCCCCTCATCCATTTTCCACTGCGGAATTCTTTTGAGAGTATAATTTGTGCTTCAGAATCCAGAGATACTGACGTGCAGATAGGTTGTAGTAGTCCTGGTCTGTCTGGGAGAATGGCTGAGGAGCATGTTTCCTGAGGACCAAATCAGTTTTTTAGAAAAAAAAAATAAATTATTTCCATAGGCTTTTGGGGAACAGGTGGTATTTGGTTACATGAGTAAATTCCTTAGTGGTGATGTGTGAGATCTTGATTCACCTGTCACCCGAGCAATATACGCTGCACCCAGTTGGTAGTCTTTGTCCACCCTCTCCACCCTGAGTCTGCAAAATCCATTATATCATTTTTGTGCCTTTGCAGCCTTATACACACACACACACACACACACACACACACTCACACGCTACAGTTTCTTTATCCATGTGATGGGCATTGGAGCTGATTCCATGTTTTTAAATTGCAAATTGTATTTCTATAAACATGCTTATGCTAGTATCTTTTTCACACAATGATTTGTTTTCCTCTGGGTAGATATCCAGTAGTGGGATTGCTGGATCAAATGGTAGTTCTACTTTTAGTTCTTTAAGGAACTCCACAGTGTTTTCCATGGTAGTTGTACTAATTTACATTCCCATCAGCAGTGTAGAAGTGTTCCCTTTTCACTGCAACCATGCCAACATCTATTATTTCTTGATATTTTTGATTATGGCCATTCTCGCGAGAATGCTGAGCATTTTTTCATATGTTGGTTGGTCATTTGTACATCTTGTTTTGAGAATTGCCTATTCATGTTCTTAGTGGGATTGTTTGCTTTCTTCTTGCTAATTTGTTTGAGTTCATTGTAGATCCTGGATATTAATCCTTTATTGATGTATAGATTGTGAAGATTTTCTCTCATTCTGTGGGTTGTCTGTTTACTCTGCTGACTCTTCCTTTTGCTGTGCAAAAGCTCTTTAGTTTCATTAAGTCCCACCTATTTATCTTTGCTTTTAGTGCATTTGCTTTTGGGTTCCCAAGTCACTTTTGAAGTATCCCCAGTACAGCTTTGGATGTGTCACTGGGCCCTGGACACAGGTGTAGCTCACAAGAAATGGAGCCAGGGGAGAATGAGAGAATAGGAGAGCGCTTTTCTGGAGAGGCAGCCCAGTTTAAATGTACACCTTGGTGTATTGATTCATGGTCTACAGCTCTTGAAGAAGAAAAAATGAGGTTTCAAAACACGAAGGAGGGAAAGACTAGAGAAAAGAACTTGTCGCTTTTTGTCTCGTGTTTGGTTGTGTCCACACAAATCTCATCTTGAATTGTAGCACCCATAATTCGCATGTGTTGTGGGAGGGACCTGATGAGAGATACTTCAATCGTGGGGACAGTTTCTCCCATACTGTCCTTGTGGTAGTGAATAAGTCTCATGAGATTTGTTGGTTTTATAAGGGGTTTCCCTTTTTGCTTGCTTCTCATTCTCTCTTGCCTGCCACCATGTAAGATGTGCCTTTCACCCTCTGCCATGATTGTGAGGCCTCCCCAGCCACATGGAACTATGAGTCCATTAAACCTCTTTTTCTTTATAAATTACCCAGTCTTGGGTGTGTCTTTATGAACAGCCTGAAGACAGACTCATACATTGCACCTTGGAAGACAACCTTTCTGAGGGTCCTTCACTCAGAACTTGTTCTTCCAACAGAGGTAGTGGCGGTGGCATGTTTGATGTGTAGGTGTCAGAGGGACTGATATGACCTGGTTACTAGCTGGTTTGGAGGTCTCAGTCCCTGGAGAGAAGGGGCAGTTGGAGGGAGGAAGGCAGGGATGATTGTGGCTGGGAGGATGTGTTGCAGTGGTTGGTGCAGGGAGCAGTCAAGGCTTCGTGGTCATGGATGCTGTAGGTGTGCTTGGAGGAGGTCCTTTAAGGGCCGTCTTGGGTAGAGGTTTGCAACAAGAGTTGGCCTGACTGCATCTCTGCTTCAACCAAAGCATCTTTAGTTTGAGCTTTACTTATTTATTTATTTATTTAGAAATGAAATTTTACTCTTGCTGCCCAGGCTGGAGTGCAATGGTGCAATCTTGGCTCACTGCAACCTCTGCCTCCCAGGTTCAAGCTATTCTCCTGCCTCAGCCTCCTGAATAGCTGGGATTACAGGCATGTGCCATCTCACCCAGTTAGTTTTTTTTTAAATTTTTATTTTTAGTAGGGGTTTCTCCATGTTGGTCAGGCTGTTCTCGAACTCCCGACTTCAGGTGATCCACCCACCTCGGCCTCCCAAAGTGGTGGAATTACAGGTGTGAGCTACTGTGCCCAGCCTAGTCTGAGCTTTTAATATCTTGGGCCTACCCTGGAGGCTTGTTTGAATAAAGACTACAGATAAAATAAGCAACAACCATTTTTTTTCTGACAAATCCCAAGAGACGGGGCTTGGTCATTAGGAACAGCTGATCTTTAAGAAAAATGTTGCACAAGATGGGCTTTGATAGAGATTGAATATCTGTCCTTGCCAATGTCTGATGTTGAAATGTAATCCCAAAGCTGGCGGTGGGACCTGGCGGGAGGTGTTTGGATCTTGGTAATGGATCCCTCACGGCTTAGTGCTGTCTTTGTCATAGTGAGTGAGCTCTTGCATGATCTGGTCATTTAAAAGTATGTGGCACCTCCCCCACTGTTTCTCTTGCTCCTGCTTTTGCCGTGTGAAGTATCTGTTCCTGCTTCACCTTAAGCCATGATTGAAAGCTCCCTGAGGCTTTACCAGAAGCCAGGCAGATGCCAGCAACATGCTTCCTGTATGGCCTCTAGAAATGTGAGTCAATTCAACCTCTTCATAAATTACCCAGTCTCCAATATTTCTTTATAGCAATTCAAGAATGGCCTAATACAGGTTCGAACTTGAATTTTAAAATTAAAAAAAAATTATTTTTCGAGACCAGATCTTGCTTTGTCAGCCAGGCTGGAGTGCAGTGGTGTGATCATGGCTCTCTGCAGCCTTAAACTCCTGGGCTCAAATGATCCTCCCAAGTATTGGGGACAACAGGTGTGCACCACCATGCCCAGCTAATTTTTGTACTTTTTTGTAGAGACAGGGTTTCATCATGTCATCCAGGCTGATCTCAAACTCCTTGGCTCAAGCCATCTGCCTGCCCCAGCCTCCCAAAGTGTTGGGATTTTACTGGCATGAGCCACTTAGCCTGGCCTGAACCTGAATTTTAAATGCTAAGCATGCACAGAGTCCAAAGAGATAAGACAGGGGGCCCAGTTCAGAGGTAAGATCCTGCCCTTATGTTTCTTGGAAGTTTTCTCATTTTTTTGGTGTTTTAAAATTGAGATGTAATTTACATATAGAGTGAAATCTGCAGACCCTAAGTGTAGTTTGATTCGTTTTGACAAACACACAGATTTATGTAACCCACAGTCTACCAATATATAGTACAATTTTATCATCTCAGAAATCCTCTTGTATTCCTTCCTAGTCAATCTTCCACATCCACGAGAAACAAGCACTATTTTGATATTTTTAGCCCTAGATTAGTTTGGCTGCTCTGGAACTTTATGGAAATGAAATCATGTATATATATTCTTTTGTTTCTGTGTTGTGTTTTGTTTTTCACTCAGCATTTTTTTTTTTTTTTTTGCATTTTTCTTTGTCAGGGGATCTGCAGTCTGTTTGAAAAGAAGCAGAAAGTAAATATTTTAGACTTGCCAGCCAGCAGGTCTCTGTAGCAACTACTCAACTCTGCTGTTGCAGCAGGAAAACAGTGTAGACGATATGCAAATAACTGCATGTTGCTATCTTTCAATAAAACTCTATTTACAGAAAATGGCTCGTTTGCAGAGATAATTAGCTGACCCCGATATATGTTGTTTATTAGTTTTGTTTGTTTTTATTGCTGTGTTGTCTTACATGTGTGGATCTGTCATAGTTTATTTAGCTGTCTTCCTGTTGGTGGACACCAAGACCATTTTGATTTTTGGCTATTACGAATAAAGTGACTGTGTATGATTTTGTATAGGACTTTTGTGTACCTACGTGTTCATTTCTTTTATATAGGTAACTAGGAGTGAAATTATTGTCATAGGGTGTCTGTTAGGGTTCTCTGGAGGGACAGAACTAATAGGATAGATGTAGATATGAAAGGGGGCTTATTAAGGAGAATTGACTCACAGAATCACAAGGTGAGGCAGCCTACAGTACAGCTTTCAGTCTGTGGCCAAAGGCACGGGGGCCCCTGGCAATCCACTGGGCTAAGTCCAAGGGCCCAGAGCCACAGAACCTGGAGTCTGATGTTCGAGGACAGGAAGCATCCAGCATGGGAGAAAGGTAAAGGCTGGAAGACTCCGCAGGGCAGCCTCTCCCACCTTCCTCTGCCTGCTTTATTCTAGCTACACTGGCAGCTGACTGGATGGACCCACGCCCATTGAGGATGGGTCTGCCACTGACTTCGATGTTAGTCTCCTCCGACAACATTCTCACAGACATACCCAGGAACAATACTTTGCATCCTTCAATCCAACTAAGTTGACACTGAATATTCACCATCACAGGGTAGGTGTATATGGTGTATATTTAACTCTTTTTTTGGGGGGGAGATGGAGTCTCACTCTGTCACCCAAGCTGGAGTGCAGTGATGCAATCTCAGCTGACTGCAGTCTCTGCCTCCCAGGTTCAAGTGATCCTCCTGCCTCGGCCTCCCAAGTAGCTGGGATTACAAGTGTGTGCCACTATGCCCGGCTAATTTTTGTGTTTTTAGTAGAGATGGGATTTTGCCATGTTGGCTAGGCTGGTCTTGAACTCCTGATCTCAGGTGATCCACCTGCCTTGGCCTCCCGATGTGCTGGGATTACAGGCATGAACCACCGCACCCAGCCCTATATTGAACTCTTAACTGCCGAATAAATTTACAAAATGGTTGTAGTATCTTTCAGTTTTACCTTCAACATGTGAGTGTTCCAGTTATGCCTCATCCTCGCCAACATTTGGTGTTGTCAGTTTTCTTCCTGTTAGCCATAGTAGTGGCTGTGGAGTGGCAGCCCATGTGCTTCCTTGAATACTTCTTGACTGATTTGGTTCCATCACACGTGTTGCTTTTATTTCCATCACACGTGTTGCTGTTATTTCCGAGGTACCTGGAGAAGTGATCCTCTGTGATCAACCTCTCAGGGACTTAGTAGCTTCTCTTTACACAGGCTCTGCATGACCAAGTGGGGTGTGTGCACCCAGAGTCTTTGAGAGGACGCATCTCAGTCTTTAACCATCATCCACTACTTATTTATTTATTTTGGAGATAGGCTCTTGCTTGTTGCCCAGGCTGAAGTGCAGTGGTGCCATCATAGGCCACTGCAGCCTTGACCTCCTGGGCTCAAGCTATCCTTCCACCTCAGCCTCCTGAGTAGCTGGGACTACAGGTGCATACCACCGTGTCTGGCTAATTTTAAAATTGTTTTGTAGAGGCAGGGTGTTGCTGTGTTGCCCAGGCTGATCTTGAACTCCTGGCCTCAAGTGATCTTCCTGCCTTGGCATCCCGAAGTGCTGGGATTACAAGTGTGAGCCTCCCCCACCTGCACTTCATCTATTGCAGTTGTCCACATGCATCAGATTTTATCCTGATGCCTCTTTGTCTCTTTTTTGGCTTTGACTCGGTGCAGCAGAGCGGGGAGAAGCTGTCAGCAGCCACGTCATTTCTGGTTTTACAAACGTGCCAGGGTCCTATTTCCTTCAGAGCCTGGAGACCGAGCCGGGCCCCACTTATCAAAGCACTGGGCCAACTCCTTCCTACCATATGGCTGATTCTCCCTTGGGGGGAAGATTGAGAAAATAGACCCATATGCTGCCGTGATTCTGTTTGTGTTTGGATGTGGAGTTTAATTTGTGTCAGAAAAAGCAGTATTCTTATTTCATTGATTTCCTTTTTTGCATCTTTTGTAAAAGGGAAGAATGAAAGCTCGGGAATTAGCTACAGAAATAGCAAGTGGATAATAAAATAATGTGTTGTGGTCCGTGTGCAGTTAGAAAAAGGAATGATATTTGACTCCTTTTTGGTCTGTATTCACAAAGAGCTATACTGGTTTCTTGGATCAATGTGGTAGTTCAGAGATATGAAGCATTCTTGTATTTACTATCCTATCCAGTTACAAAAGTAACCTTGTGAAGTGGGAGGCCTTTAACCATCATCTGGCTTTATTTATTTATTTATTTATTCAGAGATGGAGTCTTGCTCTGTCTCCAGGTGGGGGTGCAGTGGTGCAATCTCAGCTCACTGCAACATCCACCTCCTAGGTTCAAGCGATTCTCCTGCCTCAGCCTCCTGAGTAGCTGGGACTACAGGTGTGCACCACCACACCCAGCGTATTTTTGTGTTTTTGCTACAGACGGGGTTTTACCATGTTGGCCAGGATGGTCTCGATCTCTTGACCTCATGATCCTCCCACCTCGGCCTCTTAATGTGCTGGGATTACAGGCATGAGCCACTGTGCCTGGCCTATTTATTTATTTTTGAGACAGGATCTTGTACTGTCACCCAGGCTGAAGTGCAGTGATACAATCAGAGCTCACCTTTAATTCCAGCTATTTGGGAGGTTGAAGCAGGAGAATCACTTGAACCAGGAGGTGGAGGTTGCAGTGAGCCAAGATCATACCACTGTACCCTACCCTGGGCAATAGAGTGAGGCGCTCTCAAAAAAAAAAAGACTCAGTAGAATGATTAATCCCATTTTACAGTTGAAGCTTCCCATTGAAGCTGCTGTCTAACTCTGGAGACTGTGATTTTTAAAAAAAATTTTATTATTTTGAGATGAAGTCTTTCTGTTGCCCAGGCTAGAGTGCAGTGGCATGATCATAGCTTAGTGTCGCCTCGACCTCCTGGGCTCAGGAAATCCTCCCCCCTCAGACTCCTGTAGCTGGGACCACAGGCATGTGCAATCATGCTTGGCTAATATTTTAAAGTTTTTGTGTTGCGGGGGATCTCACTCTGTCACCTAGGCTGGAGTGCAGTGGCATGATCATAGCTTCCTGCTGCCTCGACCTCCTGGGCTCTGGAGATCTTCCCACCTCAGTTTTCTGTAGCTGGGACACAGGCACGTGCCACCATGCTTCGATAATTTTTTAAATTTTTGTCGAGATGAGGTCTCACACTGTCACCTAGACTAGAGCACAGTGGTGCAATGATAGCTCACAGCACCCTCGAACTCCTGGGCTGAAGTGACCCTCTTGCCTCAGCCTCCTAAGTAGCTGGGACTACAGGCACGTGCCACCACACCTGGCTAATTTTTAAATGTTTTTTGTAGAGAGAGTCTTGCTGCGTGGCCCAAGGCTCATGTGGGACTCCTGAGCTCGAGCGCTCCTCCCACCTCATCCTCTCAAAGCGCTGAGATTACAGGTGTGGCCACTGCACCCAGCCGAGCCTGTCATCTTAACCGTTATTTCATGAGCAGCCATAGGTTAATAAAAATCCATAAGGCGATGTTTGTTACACTTGTGACCAGCCCCCAAGAAGAATCTTGCATGCTAACTCCCTAATGAGCTTCCCTGATGGGAAACGTTTCTCATGTGTGGCCAGAACTCCTTGCTGGAGGGAGATGAGCAGCATCCTGTGTGACTTCCCTGGGGTAGGACTCGTGGAAGCATGCACGCAGCTTCCTCCAGACCTTCTCACAGGTGCCTGTTCCCTCTGCTGCTGCTTTTCTAGTTTTATTCTGACAGTCTTGCTCTGTCACCCAGGCTAGAGTACAGAGGCGCAATCTTGGCTCCCTGCAACCTCTGCCTTCTGGGTTCAAGCAATTCTTCTGCCTCAGCCTCCCAGCTAGCTGGGATTACAGGCACCTGCCACCATGCCCGGGTAATTTTTTGTATTTTTTTAGTAGAGATAGGGTTTCACCATATTGGCCATGCTGGTCTTGAACTCCTGACCTCAGGTGATCCACCCGCCTCGACCTCCCAAAGTCCTGGGATCACAGGCGTGAGCCACCATGCCCGGCCCCCTCTGCCGCTTTTGTCTTGAATCCTCCACTGTAATAAATCAGAGCCATGAGTGCAATGTGCCAAGTTCTATGGCTCCTTCTACTGAATTATTGACCTGGGGTGGTCTTGAGGACTCTCAACATACTTGGGTTGAAAGCCAAAAATCTGGTAACGCCACTCAATAATGTGTGGCTTTGAGATTGTTGCCTAATTTAGTTTTTTGTTTTATTTTTTTGAGACGGAGTCTCGCTCTGTTGCCCAGATTGGAGTGTAGTGGTGTGATCTTGGTTCAGGCAATCTTTGTCCACTGCAACCTCTCTCCCAGGCTCAAGCAATTCTCCTGCCTCATCCTCCCGAGTAGCAGGGACCACAGGTGTGCACTATGATGCCTGGCTAATTTTTGTATTTTTAGTAGAAATGGGGTTTCACCATGTTGGCCAGGCCGGTCTCGAACTCCTGACCTCAAGTGATTTGTCTGCCTTGGCCTCCCAAAGTGCTGAGATTACAGATGTGAGCCACTGTGCCCTGCTTTTTTTTTTTTTTAAATTAATTTTTTATTTTTGTGGGTACATAGTAGGTGTATGTATGTATGGAGTACATGAGATACTTTGATTCAGACATGCAATGTGTAATAATCCCATCATGGAAAAAGGGGTATCCATCCCTTAGGCAGTTATCCTTTGTGTTACAAACAATCCAATTATACTCTTAGTTATCTTAAAATGTACAATTACATTATTATTGATGATAGTCACCCCGTTGTGCTTTCAAATCCTTGGCTTTATTCATTTTATCTAATTCTAATTTTGTACCCATTACCCCCACTTTCCTCTACTCCCTCCTCCCCTCCCCAGCCTCTGGTGACCATCCTTCTTCTCTCCATGAGTTCAATTGTTTTAATTTTTAGCTTCCACAAATAAGGGAGGATGAGCAATGATTGTCTTTCTGTGCCTGGCTTATATCACTTAACATAATTTCCTCTGGTTTTATCCATGTTGTTGCAAATGACAGGATCTCATTTCTTTTTAGAGCTGAACAGTACTCTACCGTGTGTATGTACCACATTTTCTGTCTTCATTCATCTGTTGGTGGATGATTATGTTGCTTTCAAATTTCCCAATTCATTGTGATCTTCTGTGAAAAAGAGGGATGCGGGCCAGGTGCAGTGGCTCACACCTGTAATCCTAGTACTTTGGGAGGCTGAAGTGGGTGGATCACCTGAGGTTGGGAGTTCGAGACCAGCCTGGCCAATATAGTGAAACCTTGTCTCTACCAGAATTACAAAAAATTAACTAGACGTTGTGGGGGCGAACCTGTAATCCCAGCTACTCGGGAGTCTGAGGCAGGAGAATCGCTTGAACCTGGGAGGTGGAGGTTGTAGTGAGCCCAGATCATGCCATTGCACTCTAGCCTGGGTGACAGAGCAGGACTCCGTCTCAAGAAAAAGAAAAAGGGTGCAAATGTCAACTTCAAGTGGATATGGTCTGGGTAAAATGAGAAATATGCACGTAGTGGCCCCCAACAAATGTTAGTTCTTTTCTGCTATCACATCCAAAAGCAATAACCAACCGAAATGCGTGTAGTGAGTATTTGGGCATTGCTGAAATAACAGAAAGACCTCCTGACGTCCTTTCCTTCATTCATTGAGTTATGTTCCATGCTCTTTGCTGACCTAGACTCTACTTACTAAGCGTGGCCCTATACTAGAGAGACCAAGAAGAAACCAAAAGTCTTTGAACTTCCAGGATTTTTTTCTGGAGACCCCTAATCTGGACTACCAGTAAGTGGCCAACACTAGCAGTAAGGGACTGAAACCAACACAGACCTCGAAGCGTGAAGAACCTCCTAATATACGATGCTCTAGCGTATGTAGCTTGGGAAGATAGGTACTTAAGATTGACAAACCATTTTAGTCTTGGTTTTTGCAGGTAGTGTGGCTGAGCATTCGGAATCAAAGGAATTCTCACTTCATTTCACCCAGAAGGTCTCTATGTTTTCTTTCAAACAGACTGTATTTTTGCTCCCGTCTGTACCCCCCAAGAAGAAATCTGGGCAAAACTAAGCACATTCCCTTCATTTGTGTGTCGGCTGCAGTGGTTCATAGACTTCAGTAGGTTTCAGAATCACCTGGAGGACTTGTTGAAACTCCTTAGAATTTCTGATTCCTTAGGTCTTGGCGGGGCTTGAGATTTTGCCTTTTAACCTGCTCGGAGTTCATGTTGATGCTCTTAGTCCTGGGTGAAACTTTGAGACCCTCTGTGTAGCCGCGACCTCTACCACAGCATAGCTCGGCTCTGGCTGAGATACATCTCTCTTATCTGTCAAGAATGACTCTAAGCACTTTACTACGCTGCATGTATTTTGATTAAGTGGCCAAGGGGGTGGCTAAAGCTGAATTTACAAGGCAAGGAGCTCTGGAATTTTTCTTTGAAAGATCTCACAAATGATCTGTTTATTTTTCATGGGATGACATTTCAGATCTTCGGTTTGCTTTCCTGTTTGGCTTGTATTAGAACACTGCTATTCCTAAAGTTGTAATTTTTATATGTGAGTGGTTTGCACAGGTTCTTGTGGATTAGGATTTCTAATCATCCATCCATCCATTCATCCATCTATCTATCCACTTGCCCACACTCCCACCTATCCATTCATCCCTCTGTTAACCCTTACCCCATCTATCCCACTCACCCATCCACTCACCTATCCATCCACTCCATCCATGTATCCATGCATCCATGCATCCATCCATCCATCCATCCATCCATCCATCCATCCATCCATCTACCTATCTGGCCCACTCATCTACCCATCCATCCATCCACCCACTCACCCATCTAATCATATATAATTCATCCATCATGCATCCATCCAACATAATACACTGGTAGACTATAGAGATATAAAGAAAAATAAGACTGTGTCTTATCCTCAAGGGGTTTACGTTACTGTAAGGGAAGCTCCTCTTTTTTGTCTTCTTTAAAGAAAAGTGTGCATTTCTTGCTTTCTAGTGAGTTGAGCTAATAGTTGAATCCATTAGATTAATATTGACCTTTCTTGTAAACACACATTTCTTCAGAAAATGTTTTGAGAAATCTGCTGACATCTTGAAGTAAAGGCACAAATGTCTTTAACCCAGAACTTGGTGTTGAAAATCAATTCCTTCTGAGGAAGGTTTTCATAGCTTCTTGGTGATGATGCCAGGAAGGTTTCCTCTGAATAAGCATGGTGTGTTTTAGAAACCTCTGCCGTGTTACCCGCTTATCTTGAAAGACCCGGTAAGCCTGGCCTGTGGCTTCGTGCAAGATGTTTGTGGATGGTATTGATGGAGCTCCCACTCTGAGTCAGCCTGCACTGCATACTCAACTATTAGTGAGCACCCCTGTAAATAATTCTAGGCCACCTTCCTTGGGATCCTTTGACCAGACAGATTTTGGCATTTACTGCTAGGTGCGGTAGTAAGCCAGGTGACTGCGTGTCCACCAGTGTGAACTACTTTAATGGTTCCCAGAGGCTGGATTTTAAGTGTTATTATCACTCTCTGTGTCCCTTCATCCTCCAAGTGTTTAAAAACTTGAGTTATAAACTTTTCTTAAAATACCTGAATTATTTTCATCTCTCCTTATCCTAGTTTCATCTTTATTTAAACACAGGGAGCTTTTTTCATGGTTGTAGTCATTATGGATATTCATTTTTTTTTCTGCTTTTCTCACATTACATTATATAGTAAATGTTCTTTCCTGCTCCTACATAGCTATGATAACTCTATAATAGTGCATGGTTTAATGTACTTTTATTGCTTTTCCATTTTCTGTCACTAGTTATTAGGTCGTTTCTATTTTTAAAAAATAATGAATGCTTCTATACCCAGCATCTAGACTCAGAAAACAAAACTCTTTTTCTGTTCTTTAAAACAATTACTTACATTTATATGATGTTATTTATATATATATATAATTATTATTGTTATTATATTTTTAAATACGCTTGATATAGTTAGTCAGACTTTCCTCCCAAAGAATTCAGGCAATTCATTTATCTCTCTGCCAAAACTGGGCTTTGCGGTCTTTCTTTGTTTTGTTAATTCAGTAATTTTAAAGAGTGTGCCGACTGTTTTGATTTGCATTTCTTTAATTACTGACATCATTAAATCCATTTTCAGTAATTGGCTTATTAAAGGAGTTTTTAATGTGTTTGTGTATGTGCTGGAAACTATTGCAGTGTTTTTCCTGTGTATGAGGTATTTATATATACATACTGTTCGTGTGTGTGTACGTGTGCGGCTTAATACTGTACATGTGTGGGTTTTGCAGTGTTACTGGTTTTCTTTTCATGCGCTTTTTTCTGGCTTCATAAATTGATGCCTGCTGTCTGCTAGGAACTCAGTTACTGAGTGAATGAATGTTTATCTTTGCTTTCAGTCTCTTCTGTTACAAACATTTCCAAAACTCTTACATGGAAGGACGATGTTCTTTTATTTTATTCCAGGTTTTTCTATTTGATTTGTGATATTTAGCATTGTTTTAGGTCACAAAAGTTAGATTGGATACGGATCTAAGTTTGTTTTTCTCCAGTTTTTTTGTTTGATTTCTCTCCTAATGCATGCCATGTTTGTTTCAAACATATGCTAATATTTAATGAAGAAAATCCTCTTTTATTCATTCCTTTCCCCCAAATAGTATTTTTTCCCCATTTTTTTCTGTTTTAAATTGCTTTTAACACAAAACAGTATAAATAAGCAATGAAAAGCTTTCAAGGGCAAAAGGAGTATGAAGTGCAGGCGTTTATTCTGTAGCGTCAGTGAAATACAATTGGAAAAATTGTAATTAAATTAAAATAATTCATCACACAGACAATATTGCAACAGTAGTGAAGAAAATAAAGCGAAACGTTCACCCACGGTCACCCGTGACAGCTCTTTCAAGTGTACGCACAGTTCTGTTTAAAGATTTATGAAGTCTGCATGGTTTTAATTCTAGCTTAACTTCAGTTGCATATTTGCAACTTTTTTTTTTGAGATGGAGTCCCACTCTGTCACCCAGGCTGTAGTACAGTGGCGCGATCTCGGCTCATTGCAACCTCTGCCTTCAAGGTTCGACTGATTCTTCTGCCTTAGCCTCCTGAGTAGCTGGGACTACAGGTGCGCACCACCGTGCTTGGCTAATTTTTGTATTTTTAGTAGAGTCGGGTTTTCACCATATTGGCCAGGCTGACCTCGAACTCCTGATCTCATGATCTGCCCACCTCGGCCTCCCAAAGTGCTGGGATTGCAGGAGTGAGCCACTGCGCCCCACCTACAATTTTTAATTTAATTTTATGTTACAACGGTTTTTCCATATTAATGTTTTTCTTTTTAAAAATGTACTTGAATTAAACATTTAATTAATAAGTAACGATTGTATATATTTATGAGGTACACTGTGATGTTTTAATATCTATATACATGACAGAATGATGAAACCCATCTAATGAACATGTCCATCACTGCAATATTTATTTATGGGGAGAATATTTAAACCCATTCTCTTAGCTATTTTCAAATATGTAATACATTACTACTAACTGTTGTCACCGTGCTTGAATATACTTGGAGCTCAACCATCAGCATCTTCCTGAAATGGAGTTCATCGAGGGTGGTTTTGTGGGCATTATACTCGCCTTAGAATTTGTCATGGTTACAACATTTAGAGCCACTGGTGTATACAAGCAGTGAGATGGACACGTACCTGTAATATTTTTTTTTTTTTGAGACAGGGTCTCGCTCTGTCGCCCAGGCTGGAGTGCAGTGGCATGACCATGGCTCACTGCAGCCTAGACTCCCCTGGGCACAAGTGATCCTCCCACCTCAGCCTCCCAAGTAGCTGGGACTGCAGTCATGCCACCACCCTGACTGGCTGATTATTGTATTTTTTGTAGAGATGGGTTTTCCTCATGTTGCCGAGGCTGGTCTTAAACTTCTGGACTTGAGTGATCTGCCTGGCCTGGCCTTCCATATTGCTGGGATTATAGGCACAAGCCACCACACTGGCCCATGGCTATAATTTTATTTAAATGTGATGTTTCTTAAAAAAACATAACAGATGGCTTGCCCCCACGGGGAGATTGATCAAAGGGAGAAGGAGCTTCCCATTCACAGATTATTGTAACCAAAACTCAACCAGACCTACTTAATGCAGACGAATCCCTGCAAGAAACATTTATGGTGTAGCCTTTATATCGTGTTTGTTTTCATTTAATAAATGCTTTTTTTTTTTCTAAAAAGGGACAGGATCTCACTCTGTTGCCCAAGCTGGTGTGCAGTGGTGTGATCATAGCTCTCAGCAGTCTTGACCTCCTGGGCTCCAATCCTCCTGTCTCAGCCTCCAGGGTACCCGGGACTATAGGCATGTGCCATCATGTCCAGCCAATTTTTCATTTTTTGATAGAAATGAGGTCTTGATATGTTGCCCAGTCTGGTCTTGATCTCCTTGATTCAGGCTGTCTTCCAGTCTGGATCTCCCAAAGTGCTGGGACTACAGGCAAGAGCTGCTACACCTGACCACAAGTGCTTCTAAAGTCATATAATGTATTGATATTTATATTTCTTTTTTCTTGTAAGAAGTTTCTGTATTTTTATGATATGATATGGCTTCTAGGAATGGAATCTCCACTTATCACACTCAGAGGAAACAAATAATTGATTTATAATTACTTGCTTTGCTCCCTTTGTCCAATAATTGATTAGGTTGGTGGTTGGCAGACTCCTCCTGAAACGGGCTGGAGAGTAAGCATTTTCAGCTCTGAGGGCCGTATGGTCTCTGTCATAACTACACAGCTATGCCACTGCAGTGTGAACGCAGGCATAGACACCTCATAAACAAATGAATGTGGCTGCATTCCAACCAAACTTTATTTTTGGGAGTGAAATTTGAATTTTATGGAATTTTCATGTGTCACAAAATATAATTCTTTTTTGAATTTTTTTCAATCCTTTCCAAATGCAAAACCATTCTCAACTGGAGGGCCTTTCAAAAATGAGGCAGTGGACCAGATTGGGACCATAGTTTGCCAGTGTCCTCCTTAGGTCACAATTTAGGGTTGTAGAGCAGTGATTTACTGAGCAATTCCATATGCTGGGTACTGGGCTGCATGCTTTTCATATATAGGCTCGCATACTCTTCACAAAAACTCTTAATCATGTATTTATTTGTTTATCTCTGGGTGGGGAAACTGGGGCTTCTTGAAGTTAACTCACTTGCCAAAGGTTTTATTTTACTTATGTAATAGTGGTGGAATGACACTTTATTTTTTATTTTATTTTGTTGAGACAGCGTTTTGCTGTGTCACCCGGGCTGGAGTACAGTGGTGTGATCATGGGTCACTGCAGCCTCCAACTCCCAGGCTGAAGCTATCCTCCCACGTCAGCCTCCCAAGTAGCTGGGACTGCAGATGTGCACCACCATGCATGGCTGATTTTTCTATTTTTCGTAGAGTCAGGGTTTTGCCATGTTTCCTGTATTAGTTCATTTTCATGCTGCTGATAAAGACATACTTGAGACTAGGAAGAAAAAGGTTTAACTGGACTTACAGTTCCACCTGGCTGGGGAGGCCTCAGAATCATGGTGGGAGACGAAAGGCACTTCTTACATGGTGGCAGCAAGATAAAAACGAGGAAGAAGCTAAAGCAGAAGCTCCTGATAAACCCATCAGATCTTGTGGTATTTATTTATTTTGGGAAAGAGTTTCGCTCTCTCACCCAGGCTGGAGCGCAACGGTGCAATCTTGGCTTACTGCAACCTTTGCCTCCTGGGTTCAAACAATTCTCCTGCTTCAGCCTCCTGAGTAGCTGGGATTACAGGTGCCTGCCACCATGCCTAGCTAATTTTTGTAGTTTTAGTAGAGATGGGGTTTCACCATGTTGACCAGGCCGGTCTTGAACTCCTCACCTCAGGTGATCTGCCTTCCTCAGTGTCCCAAAGTACAAGACTTATTTACTATCATAAGACTAGCATGGGAAAGACTGGCCCCCATGATTCAATTACCTCTCCTGGTCCCTTCCACAACACCTGAGAATTCTGGGAGATACAATAAAATCAAGATTTGTTTGGGGACACAACCAAACCATATTATTGTCCAAGCTGATTTTGAACTCCTGAGCTCAGGTGATCCTCCTGCCTCGGCCTCCCAAAGTGCCGGGAGTAGAGGCATGAGTCACTCTTCCTGGCTGAGTGACAGACAATTTGAACTGAAGTCTGCCTGTTTAATTTTAACTCTAAAGGCACTGTTCTTGTGGAGTTTGCAGAGTTGTGGTATGGACAGTGGGTAATTAAGCAATTTTGCAATTGTTAGTAGAATATTATAATTCAACTATTAAGTAACTCTCTCGACACACCATATTGGTAAACCCTTGAAGGAGGTTGGCTCTTGGGTTGATCGTCACTTTTAATGACAGTGCAGTGGACAGCAGAGGTTGTTTGGGTTTGAATCTCACTCCCCACCTTGGAATTTCAGTGATCTTCAAGTTATTTATCCTCCTTGTGCCTCAGTTTCCTCATTTGTAAAGTGGAAGCCAAAAGAGTATTTGCCTAGGAGCAGTTACCAAGATTTTATGAGATGGGTCACAGCAGGTGATGGGCATAGAGTACATTGTCAATAAATATGAGCTCTTATTGTCACTACTTTGATTTAAAGAGTCAAGTGAAACCTACTTGGTTATGAGATTCAGTGCGGCTATTTTTTTTTCTCCTTTGCTCTATATTTCCAAAAAACATTTTTGGAAATAGATTCAATCTTATCCATTACATTGTTCAGATCAATGTCTTTGCTTTTTACAAATTTATTTACAAATTAAACTACGTTAATAAATTCTAGTGACCTGATGTTATGGTATACCACCACAACAGAGATTCTATGAAGTTCTCTTTCCCTTGGTGATATGCTTTGGTGTGTCTCCACCCAAATTTCAACCTCATCTGTAGCTCCCAGAATTTCCATGTGTTGTGGGGGAACTCGGGAAGGTAATTGAATCATGGGGGCTGGTTTCTCCTATGCTATTCTCATGATAGTGAATAAGTCTCATGAGATCTGATGGGTTTATCAGGGGTTTCTGCTTTTACTTCTTCCTCATTTTTCTCTTGCCGCCACCTGTAAGAAGTGCCTTTCACCTCCCACCATGATTCTGAGGCTTCCCAGCTGCGTGGAACTGTAAGTCCAGTTAAACCTCTTTTTCTTCCCAGTCTTGGGTACCTCTGTATCAGCAGCATGAAAACAGACTAATACATTGGTAAATTGGTACCATTAGAATGGGGCATTGCTGAAAAGATACCCGAAAATGTAGGAGCAGCTTTGGAACCAGGTAACAGGCAGAGGCTGGAACAGTTTGGAGGGCTCAGCAGAAGACAGGAAAATGTGGAAAGTTTGGAACTTCCTAGAGACTTGTTGAATGGCTTTGTCCAAAATGCTGATAGCGATATGGACAATAAGGTCCAGGCTGAGGTGGTCTCAGATGGAATTGAGGAACTTCTTGGGAACTGGAGTAAAGGTGACTCTTGCTATGTTTTAGCAAAGAGACTGGCAGCATTTTGCCCCTGCCTTAGAGATCTGCAGAACTTTGAACTTGAGAAAGATGATTTAAGGTATTATCTTAAATAAAAATTTCTTTAAGGCAGAAGAAATTTCTAAGCAGCAAAGCATTCAAGATGTGACTTGCATGCTGTTAAAGGTATTTAGCTTTATAAGGGAAACAGGGCATAAAAGTGGAAAATCTGCAGCCTGACTAAGAGATAGAAAAGAAAAATTCATTTTCTGGGGAGAAATTCAAGGCAGCTGCAGAAATTTGCATAAGTAGCGAGTAGCCTAATGTTAAT